ATCATCATCATCATCATCATCATCATCAACATTATCACTGAAATGATTGTTAAGTGATAATGTTCATGATGATGAGGGGGGTGATGTTTATTTGGGTATTTATAACAAACATCAGCACACATTTCTACTCCCCCCTACCTGCCCACTCCTGCCCACATCGGCGGTTCATTCTTCACTACGTGTTTAAACACACACACCTCCCTCCCCTAACTTCCCCCAGGCAACCCCAAGCTCCCCACGTCAGGCCACCTGCCCCCCCTGCCCCCTTCCTCCTTGCCTCCCGCCTTGCCTCCCCTCAGTCTCCACTGTTCCTTTACCCCCCCCTCCCCCCACACACATACAGCCCCCATAAGGAGTGTAGCCCCGCAGTAGCCCTTCCCGTATCTCGAGCCTCCTACGTCACCACTGCCGCTGCCACGGGAGGCCCCCCTTCCCTTGCTGCTGCTGCAGCTGTTACTGCTGCTGTTACTGCTGCTGTTACTGTTGTTGCTGTTGTTGTTGTTACTGTTGTTGCTGTTGTTGTTACTGTTGTTGTTGTTGCTGCTGCTGGTGCTGCTGTTGTTGTTGTTCTCGTCGGCCCTTGAGGACGTTGGAGATGTAGAACTCGCCAGCTCGGTAGGAGGAGCGAACCATGGGTCCGCTGGCCACGTAAAGGAAACCCATCTCCTGCAGAGGTAGTGGTGGTGAGGGAAGGCGGGAAGGAGGGGGAAGAGGCAAAGTGGAGGTGCATCATAGGTTGAGGTAGCTAGGGACACTCTCCGAACGCACCGTTACACCTCCTGCAAAGCCCCTCATACACACCCACACACATCTCCTCCGTCCCGCCCTCCCACACAATCCCCAACATCCACCAAAAACACATCTCACACACCCCTCACCTACCCTCAGTACCCATCCGGGCCCCCGCGCCCTCACCCACCTGCGCAAGTTGCTCGTACGCCTTGAAGGCCTCCGGCGTCACAAACTCCGAAACCGCCATGTGCTTCTTGGTGGGCCTCATGTACTGTCCCAGAGTCACCACATCCACACCGTGAGCCCTGGTGGCACGCGAACATGTGTGTGTATGTGTGTATGTATGTACGCACAAAGGTTACATCGACGTCAACGGCGACATGTGCGCAACCATTTCATATTAAAAGTCTAAAAGAGAGTATTTTTGAAAGAGTAAAGTACGGAAGTTTTGGATCCAGCAACACAACCGGGAAGTGAGTGGCCTCTCATATTGTCGTACGTAAACATGAAGGAGACCAACGCAATCTCTTCCAATGCCATGGGCCGGACGCGACAACATAACACTCCCGGAAAGGGGACAAGGAGCCCATGGTCGCTCAGGGCCACATCCCTAAAAAATAGCCTTCCTCTCTCCTCCTCCCCGTCCTCCTCCTCCCCGTCCTCCCTCCTCCCCGTCCTCCTCCTCCCCCTCGCTCCGTCCCTCTCCTTCGCTGTCCCATCCCCCCCCCGTTGTAGTACCTGAGCGTTTTGAGCGCATGCACCACCTCCTCCTGACTCTCCCCGCACCCCAACATGATGCTGCTCTTGGTCACCTACTCGGCGGCGGCGGCGGCGGCGGGGGAGACGGGGGGTAAGGCAATTGTCGTGTAAGAAGAAGCAGGGGATGGAGAAGTTCATGTGTGTGCGTGTGTGTTTTAGCTAGGGGGGAAATGAACGACAGGCGAGCGAAGCTGATGGCGAGTGCGGCTGAACGGGGTGGGGATGTGTTCATGTGTTTGGGGGCAGGGGAATTCATAGGATGCAAGGAAACCAGAAATGAACTGTCGGCGTCCAGAGGACAGGGGAAAAGGGAGGGGAAAAGGGAGAGGAAGTGAGGGGAAAATTCACACGGCAGCCACACGTCACATCACAAAACCATTCTATCCGTGTCGGGTGGGCAACAGCAACCTGTGTGCCGGTCGTGTGCGCCTCCAATACCCGTGTGCACACCCTGCATCTGAAATCGGGATTCACCCCGACCCCTCCTACCCCTAGGGGCCCCCTAGGGACATACACACGCATGGCATCATACACACATCAACAACGCAAAACGCACAGGGCACCGTACACATCGTACGTGTACACACATACGCACGTATCATACACACACATACGCAAGCTCGCCTGCGCCCCGAGCTCCTTGGCCCGTTGAAGCGTCCGAAGGCTTTGGGACCAGCCCGCGCGCCGGTCCCGTACGACACCCTGTACGACCAAAGACACGGCGTTTTAGGATGCGCAAGGAAAGTACTCGTGAGGTGCATGTATGTCTGTATGTATGTATGTATGCCTGTATGTATGCCTGTATGTATGCCTGTATGTATGTCTATGTCTGTTACGTGGAGGCGACTAGACCCGAGACGTTACCTGATTAGAGGAATGTGGTGCTGGTAGTTCCGACTCCCAACTCCCAACTGTCACCTACCTGTAACCGCTCAACGGTTTCTATGTTGTGCGCGTACACGTCCAGGCCGCTGTCCACAATGGTCTGTGAGGTGGCGATTCAAATTCCCCCCCCCCCCCGAGGTCGGGAGGGGCGTTATAGGGGAGGGGCGTTATACACAGAAATAAAAGAGGCAACGTCAGGACCCATCGTGTGGCCTCATTGGGGTTTGAGGAGAGTCGAGTCCAGTACAGTGGATTCCAGTCGAAGCTCTTCGAGTCCAGTCATAGATAGATACATAGGTCAGGCACTACTGGTAACGCACACGCCGTTGCCCCCGGGAGATCTCGGGATCGAGACCTGTCAGGGTCGGAAATCGTTCCGATGGTGGAAGGCAAGAGTGCCCCTAGTCGATGGACGGTGGTGACCTGGGATTAAGTAGACCTGCGCGCTGACCAGGAATGCAGTTGGGCCGCTGTCGACCCGGCAGATTCCGTTGGATGCTGGTGGTGGGTGCGGAACCCGAGCAATTCACTGAGAAGTCGGCTAGGGTGGCTGGATGAGGGTGCCCCGAAATACCAGGGAAGGCAGGATTTCGCCGGGTAGCTGCCACGGGTGAAGATGTGGCCCCCTTCCCCACACATCATACATAGATACATATATACATACTTATGCACACGCAGATGCACGCACATTGCTGTGCTCTGTAACCGCTATGCCATCCTCCCTCCCTCCCCACCATTTCACACACCTTGACGCAGTCCATATTGCCCTGGAAGTCCGGCACCAGCGCCTCCACCAGCAGCGACCCGTGGGTCTTTTGTTTGAGCAGTCGGATGGTGGAGGCGATGTGGGCGGCACCCCCGTCAGGAAGATCATCACGATCCACACTGAACAAACATACATACATTCGTACACAGCGGAGGGACGCAGGGATGGGTGCCAGCCCACTCACGCGCGGGCGGTAATTGTGTGTGTGTGTGTGTGTGTGTGTGTTTTCTAATGATCTTCGGACCCGCGATGAGGGAAATGCCGATTGTGGTGGTGCACGAATAACGTTCCCGAAGCGAGCTCCGTAATCACCAGCGACCTTGTAGAAATTTTCAAAAGAAATGTAGACGTAGCTTGAAAAAAATGAACCCTTAAAACCCTAAGTAGGTGTTGATTAGAAGAGCGTGATGTGAAGAGCCCGCAGAAACAAACGGAGGCGCTACAGCGGCCTACCGGGCCGACTAGGACTACTTGTATCTTGCGTCTTATGTCTTATGTATGTTACAAGTTACAAGTTCCGCATAAGTGCGGAGGTTGTCCGTAAAAGCCTGAGTGAGACCCGTGAACGGTAAACCGTTTTTAGTGCGGTTACGTGGTGGACCATCATCGTCCTCCCTCGTCCGCTTAAGCACGCAGCGCATGTATGTATGTATATATGTACGTATGTATGCATGTATGTATGCCGAAATCCTTTTAGGAAATTCCGCGCAAGAGAGCGCACACAGGCACAACAACATACACACTCCGTCAAGTCACCCCTGCTGCTTCCTTCTCTCGGCAATCAATTACCCTCAATTTCATAACAATACGGATGAAGATGTAGAGAATGCAGTTGGCTTTTTCCCTCCCCCGGCCCCGCAGCCCCCTCCAGAGCTGCCCGCCGGCCATACCCTGACAACACCCCCCTTTTACACTCCCCAGCCCCCGCACGCACCAGCCAGCCAGCCAGCCCCGCCACCCACCTCGTCAGCACCACGTAGTCCAGTCCCCATGCCGCAATCGCCTTGGACACGTTTTCCGGCTCGTTGGGGTCCAGGGGGGCAGGGGCCTTGGAGGTCTTCACCGCGCAGAATCTAATGGAGGGGCCCCCGGGGCCCGCGGAGGGGGGGGGAAGAAGGGGCCGGGAAAGGGGGAAAGACGAACCACAAACGAGTGAAGCTGCTGCCAGGGCAAGTGTGTACCAGACGTAGAACTGACCGAAAGGAAAAGGGGGAGAGGGGGGGGTATTGGCAAAGAGCAAAGAGCGTACTGGTCGAAAGGGGTTAGGAAAGCAGGATGCTGACGGCACTCGGTGGGACACACCAAGCTTGAGCGGAGCTGAGCCGCGGTCACCTGCTGCAAACCTCCCCAAAACCTTGACCAAAACACACAGACATACAGACACACAACCACCACGCACCTCATCCACAGCCAAGCCAGGGTAAGTCGAGTAGGTCGTGTCCTAAGGGAAGCTAAGGACGACCCACTCCCTGTCCCCTCCTCTTCCCCTCTTCTTCCTCCCTTCCCCTCCCTCCTCCTTCCCTCCTCCCCACCTGCACCCCCGAGTGCACGTGTCTCCCATCAGCATGATGGTGGCGGTGGCGGTGTGTCCGTCTCCTCCCCCCCAGCACTCGCCCAAGATTGGGACACCGCGCCTCCTCGCACACGGTAGACAACTTCAGCTCCCGGAGCTTGGCCTTGATTTCTGTGTGCGCGGTATGCGTGCGGAGGGTTGGAACGGGGGGGGGGGGAAAGATGAACCACGAACGAGTGAAGCTGCTGCTGGAAAGGAGGGGGTGCGGGTAGTGGAGTGGGGCAGAGGGGGGATCAGCGGGGGCGTTCTATCATGGCGCAGCAAATCGCGAAGAACGACCATTACCGACGTCCATGGTGGTTAAGGGCGTTTTAAGTGAGGGGGTAAGGGGGTTTTAACCGGGGGGAGAAGAGGGAGGCTAATGCCAAAGGGCACGTGTGCCTGTGGTGTCTGTCTGTCTGTCTGTCTGTATATGTGTATATCTATTATATATAGGTGTGCGACTCCCCCCCTGGTCCGCTCCATTTACCTGTGTATTTCTCCCCCCCGGGTAACTTGGACCGCTTCATCCAGTCGGGCTTCCGTTTCTTGGCCTTTGGCAATGGCACGTGAGCAGAGGAGGGGAAGGAGGGTGGAGCCAGGGGGGGTAGCACAGAGAGCGTCTTGATATTGGTTCAGAGGACCCGTGGCACCAAAAGAGATCCCAGCTGCCACGTGCGTGCGTGCGTATGTATATATGTATGCATGTATAGGTGTATGTGAACATGAGGGGGCCCGCTACTGGAGGAGACCTTCAAGCGGTCTCAGACCCCGACCCCAACTATCCGCCAACTACCCAGCCAACTACCAACCGGCAAACCACCAACCACCACCACCAACTTACCGTCCAGCTAGGCGCCTCCACGCTGTACTTCTCCGCCAGCTCTCGGCCCGTCAGGAAGTCGGAGAAGTCGGGACCTGACGTCCGCCGCGTCCAGGGAGGGGTAGTGTGGAGGGAGGCGGGAGGGAGGGGGTCCGGGAATTACATCATGAAGGTGATGATGATGCCATGCAATGAAAGGCAGTGCAAAAGTCAAAGCGCTACCTTCTCCAGGAGGTCCACAGAATGTGTGCTGGGACAACCAGTACTCATGCTTTGCGGCGCTTCGGAACAGGGGGAAGAAGGGCGCGGGTGTTTTTGGATGTTAGGTTTTCCATCCTCCTCCTCTTTTCCATGAGCCTCCATCGCCGGCAAGAGCCACCGTCCTCCCCATCTTGCCGCCCGCTGATCCCTTAGGGTTTTTTTGCATCTTCCCCACATCGTCACCCTCCCACCACACCATCCTCCCGTGCTTTTCCCGTCACCCCACTCCAACCCAAACCCTTTCTTATGGCCGGGAGCCCCGGAGGCACCTGGCCTGAAACCGTTTAGTAAATGCCCGATACGCCAGGAGAGGAGAGGAAAGTGGCATTGAGAAAGTTGTGAACATACCATTTCTTGTTTCATGGCACGGTGTACGACATCACATCACTTCAAGTAAGAAAACAAATTTCGCTATTATGATTTCCTGGTTTACCAAAGTTATATTACTTCAAGAAGAGAAAGAGATAACGAGAGACGTTGATGAACTTTTCCTTGCTCCCGCTATGACCTGTCATGTCCCAAACTTCCGAGCTGCCGCACCTCACCCCAGCCCACCACACCCTTCCTTCGCCGAATTGGGTTTCCCTTCTAGCTGGTACATAATTCTGTAACTTTTCAAATGCCCTGGTTTCTATCTGTCTTAAACGATCTTCCACGGCGGAAGGGAAGGGGGAATCGGATTATCCTTCCTTCTTTGCAAGCAGCGAAGGACCACTTGCCAGGACACCCAAGTCAAGGGTATCAAGGGCATCACTCCCTCTAGCGCCTCGCCGGGGTCCTCTCTTACCTCTCTTAGCAGCCCCCACTGGCCTCAACGACCACCCACATAAACCAATGGTCGAGGTGTCCTACCAGCGTCCCCTCCCTCCCCCCTCCCCAATCAATACCAGCCCCAGATATCCCTATCCCTCTGCTTCTACACCGCACAGGGTTTTCCCCCCACCCTTTCGCGCCATTTCCTTATGTTTGGGACCACCGCCGTAATCTGCGCGACTTGATTTGATTCGAGCCATGTTGCCATGGCTTTGTTCGTTTCCTGACAAAGCACGGGCAACACGGGCAAAGAGACAAAAATACGGGGCGTCCATCATCCGGGCGCGGGTCCGGTCCTGGTGGTGTCATTGCTGTGCTGTTGTTACTGCTGGTGCCACTGCCAACAGGTTTCTCTGGTTTCACCTTCCTCATCCTCCTCCCACACCGCTACGGACGGATCTTCCCATCCTGGATGCCACCCACTGCCACTGCTGTTGCTGAGCGGGAGAACGTGGAGAACCGGGATGCGGAAGCTGTGGCTGGCTGTGGTTACGGAGCTCGCTGCGCGGGTCGGACATACGTCATGATGAATGCGCTTACCTGCCAAATACGCCCATACTTGTCGGGAATACGTCGTCTACACGTCTATACACGCCCACAGCTAGCCGACGAATTTCATCTCAGACTCGCCCACCGCTGCAAAAACCATTATATGGTAAACAGCAGCGCAAAATCCAGCTCGTCCATTTACTTATCGCACAACGTCAACTCGGTCACCAACCCCCCTGAAACTCCTCTCATATACCCGATCGCCCATCCACGCATGGGAACCAGCCGGCAGCCCCTCGCGCACACTCTAAGCAAACCGCTCCAACCTGATATAGCATCGTTCCGTTGGGGTGCACCTTTATGTGTGTACGACATACGTCATAGATCAGTGTGGTACTTGTGGACAAAGCCGTTCGTTGCCATGAAGTTTTTTGCGCGTGTGCTTGCAGTTTATTGCGTGAAGTTCGTGTGTGTACCTTTCTTTTGCATGTCCAGGGCCTTTCCTCCCTAACTTAGCACCTGTTATTTCAAAAGCTGAGATCTTATCTGCCTGGCCTTGGGTTGCCAATACCTTGATTGGCTGGAGGGGGTTGGACTGCCCCTATGCCACGTACCCTGAGCCAGCTTCCTCCGAAAGGCTTCAACCGCCAGCACAGGGGGTTGTTGCTGGCCAAGGGGAGAAGGGGAGGGTTGAGCCGCAGGCGCTGCAGCGGCTTCCGCGGGCGCCTGGGCGACGCCGGCAGCTGTCGTGAGGCTGGCAAGGCCTGAGCCCGAAGACGCCAGTCGTGAGGACGTCGTTGCCGACGAAGCAAATAACGCTGCGCCAGCAAGGTTTTGTACCTGATATGCTAGCCATGGTGCGGTGGCGCGCACCAGATTGGTCGCTGGAAAAGCCATTTCAAATGGTCTACCTTGGGCAGCGGACCTAACTACCCAGTGGATTTACGTCGATAATGTTTTGCAAATCGTAGGAAATTCTCGCAGTAAACAACCAGCTGCACACGTCCTGGGTCAAATTGTAGGGTAACGAGACCGTTAGACTAGATGCGCGCTTGTGCACCTGTTGCCGCAAACCAGCCAGCTCCACACGCTTGTGTCACGTAAGGCCTATTGGTTATAGAAGTTGGATTTGGCCTTGGCTCTGAGAACGAACAGAACAGGCTTTGGCTCCAGGAGAGGGGCCGCGCCGTACCTGCATAGAAGGCTGGGAAGGCAAACCTGACTCTCTCTTTCAACTCCTTGTAGGGCGTCAGGGAGTTGCCAAGATGCCGAAGATAGGGTTCTACCGCAACTGTAAGCGGGCATGCTTTTTAGCTGGGGCGAGGGCGGCGGTCAGGGCAATAATCGGCCTTTTCTTGCGGTGGACGTAAAGCCAGAACCCGGCATAATTAGCATCCTTTATGTTTTAATCATACGAAATTTCACCACCGACACTACCCTGCGCCGCCCAAGTCGCCTAATGGAGGCCGCCAAGTTTTCATATATTATCAGGAGCAGCATTTCGTGTGCAGTTCTGAACAGATGACTGTTGATTTATTGTATAATTTGGCTTAACCCTTACATGGATCATGGATTGCCACAGATGGCAAGACGTTCAAGAAGCCCCGGCGTCCTTATGAGAAGGAGCGCCTGGACGCTGAGCTGAAGCTTGTCGGAGAGTATGGTCTGCGCAACAAGCGTGAGCTTTGGCGCGTGCAGATGGTCCTGAGCAAGATTCGGAATGCTGCGCGTGTGTTACTCACCCTGGAAGAGAAGGACCCGAAGCGTATCTTCGAGGGCAATGCGCTTATGCGTCGTATGAACCGCTATGGTCTCCTCAGCGAGAGCCAGGACAAGCTGGATTACGTGCTGGCGCTGACTCCCCAGGTGAGCCGCCGGCTTCGGCGGCATATTTATGCGAAACCGTGCTGCATGGATCAGCGCTGCCGAAATTGACTAATGCCTACGGCTGTTGCATGCGAACATATTGCAATGACAGACGGGTTGTGCGTTGGGTTGCGACCTCCAGGAAACACAGCAATCCACGCCACCTACAGACTGGAGGCTTGCGCGCTTATTATTTGGCTGTCTTCTCATGTTCACATACAGGATTTCCTGGAGCGCCGCCTGCAGACCCTCGTCTTTAAGCAGGGTCTGGCAAAGTCCATCCACCACGCTCGCGTGCTGATCCGGCAGCGTCACATCCGGTGAGGAGCTGCCTCTTTCTGTACTGATATTTGGGGGGAAGCCGTTGTGGCCGGGTCGGGAGGCGCTTGACGTGCTGCTCACCTAGGGGTTTTAGAGTTTTAGCACGGGTCGCATCCGTGTGAGGCGTGTTGCACGAGTGTGTTTTCATTGGGTTTTCGGTCAGTATTTCGCTTCTTAGAAGGAGAACTTTTGTTTCTGAAGAACGGTCTAGCTTTGGACCGCTCTAAATGACGGGGTACGGGCGTGAATGCTACCTGAGCAATTAAGGACACAATTGAAGGATATGTTTGATAACAGTGTTTGCTCGAGCACGTACTGCTTGGCTCCTTGACGTATTTGCCGTTCTGTCGCATCACGTCTCCCCAGCGTGGGCAAGCAGGTGGTCAACGTGCCCAGCTTCATGGTGCGCGTGGACAGCCAGAAGCACATCGACTTCGCCCTCACCAGCCCCTTCGGCGGCGGCCGCCCGGGCCGCGTCAAGCGGAAGAACGCCAAGTGAGTAGTATCGCCGGGTAAACAGGGCCCAGGATGGTTTTTGCCGTACAAGTTTGAAGCTTTGCGTAGCCTATCTTTGGAGAGTGAAGCCCTGAGCACTGGGTCACCTCCTGTTGTAATCATCTAATGCCATTGTAATATGTGGGAATCGTCGTTGAACACGTTGGTCGTGAGGCATGAATGAAGGAGCTATATTTGTAGTTTGTAGTGTAGGCAGCTGGCTCTCGATTGTCCGGCCCAATGAATTGGAGCTAATGGTTATGCTGCTTCAAATTCGCAGGAAGGGTGGCGATGGCGGCGACGATGATGAGTAAGCAATTTCAATTGCAGTACAGCAGTGAGGAATGCTGTAACAACCCCGGCCCGGTCATTTGCACCTGTGTCTAATACATTTCGTTGACGCACAAACACATCAGCTTGAGTGCCATACCGCAGCAAATGGACATTCATTACAACACGGCAATGAACATTTTGGTTGCTACGTGGAGTTGGGTTGTTTATGGGTACTGGAAGTCTCCATTTCGCAGTTATCGTACTTCCGTAGACAACTTGCCCAAAAACTTCTGACAACGGCGTTACTTATTCGTGATGGTTCAGGGTTCGTGATGGTTCAGGGAGCAGACAGTAACATGATATAAATACAGGAATAGAGGTCAGTTCTGTCTAAAGTCCTGTGCTTACATTCTCAGGCAGTGTTGGGTTACGAAGAGTACTTTGGCGAGTTTATTTCCCCTTGGAGAGCTCCTGTAACCCTATAAAGGAACCAATGATACATGATCTGTGAAGATTTATAGCCATTCGCTACATCGGAACTTCTCTCCACGTCTCGGCTATCACGCATGCACATTATGCGTGGCAAACATGTTTACCAGGCTTGGGTTTGCGAGCAGTACAAAACGTCCCCGCATTGACAAATGCCACATTTGGTGTAACGCACATTGACACAAGCATACCCTTCCATACCCACCGTTCTAATAAACAACGTAAATGAATGAATGGATGAGCCCAGTTAGCCACGAGCCATAACCTGCGAAACTGCATTGCGTGCTAAGTATGCACAAGCTACCATCAGGATAGCAGGCTGTACAGCATGTTCCCCCCAAGGCCTCCGCCACCAACAACCTGGCACCGGCCTAGCTTGACCAACGTATTGAGGAGACGTTTAGCGGATGCGCTATTCAGCGGCAGGGCCTCCATGTCGGCTGCGGAGAAGTACTTCCAGGCGTCGGCGGTCGAAAGGGGCCTGCGGCAGCACCGCCAACGAGGGGTTCCCGCAAAATGTATGAAAGGCAGTATGACTGGCTACATTCCAAATAAATCATGGGATTGTGCCAATGGGTTGTGCCAATGCGAAGTGCTCCCTGCGTGACAACCCCTTCGGGCCGTCGAGGCAGGAATACACTTTTAGCAGGAGTGCCGTTGCTCAACGGTGGCAAGTGTCCCATACTCCTGGTATTTGTGGAAAGAACCCCCCATACACTCAGCTACCGGTACCATACAATGTGATTGCCTGTTCGTCCCCATCCTGTTTCAGCACCTAGTAGCAAGTGTCTGCGCCAGCGCGCGAATGTGCCCATTGAGCACCTCCAGCGGGAAAGCTAGCTGCAAGGTGCCCGGGAGGCTGCGCCACTCCTCCTCACTGCAAAGCTCCATGGCCACGCATGGGGCAGTAGTGCTTGAGGCGGCAGCAGCCCCTGAAGGCAGCACGGCGCCTGTCGGCAGCCTGGCATGGGCACCGGCGTTCTTGCCAGGCGTGGGGATCCGCGAGGAGACCCTGCAGACGGGGACAAGCCACATGTCCTTCATTGCTGTGACGTGACGGCCAGATGTTTGAAGCACATACATCTTGTGTGTGCATTTTAAGCACATGTACAAACGTGCAAGAGTTTCATTTAACACAGTGCGTGCACACTGGGAGGCTCCGGTGCGAGGATAAACGTAACCTGACAGCTGGCCAACGCCATCGGACTGGCACTGCACCATTCATTTTCCTTTGCCTGTTAGCTCTGTTTCTCCTCACCACAACAAGTGGACCCGCGTCCAGAACGGCAGGCTTAGTGCGACATGAACCTAACTAAAGGACCCATGCTAGCGCATGCTTCGTGCATGGCCAATGCATTAAGGTCGTCTTTAACCGTCACCCGCCCAGTTGGGTCTAGCTTTCATAGCCGCACCGAGTTGGGCCACCGCCGAAGATGTCCCCCAAAGGGTGCGATGCCAGCCTGGCTGCGTTGGGTGAAAGAACGGTCGACAGCGGAGGCCCACAAGGGGCGCCGCAGCTACCCGGCGTCACAGCCGTCGGGGTGTTTGGGTTCGACACCGCGGGCGGCATCCCGAGCGTTACATCATCGGGGCCGCTGCCCCCGTCGCTGCTGTCGCAGCCCCTACCCGCCGACACCGGATGAGCTCCAATCCTGCTGCTGTTGCCGCCGCTTTCTTGGCCCCTGCGTGAGAGTGGAAAGCCGGGCCAGGCGCCGCCGCGGGCATCAGTAGAGCCAGGCCGTCGGCAGGCTTCCAGACGCAGCTGCGGCACCACCGGTGGCACCACCGTTGTGGAGGCAGAGGCAGCAGTGACGCTGCGGCTGCGACTGGGCATGCCGGACGCCGAAGGTGAGGCGGTCGCGGCTACTGCAGCTGTAACCCTCCTCGCGCGTCCTGGTGTTGTGCCGAGCGGCTCGATAGCAGCGGCCGCAGCGGCAGCGGCTGCTGCAGCCTCTAGCGGGGCTCCCCCGTAGGACCTCCGAAAAGGTGCGGCTTTTGCCGCGCTTCCCCCGCCCCCAACGGCCATGGCAGTCGAACGCGCCACCGCCATACGTGCTGCCCCTCGGGGCGTTGTAGGCTCGGTGCCTGTTGCCGTGCCTGCAGCTGCTGTGGCTGTGGTCGGGCTGCTGCTGTAGGTTTGCGGCACCCGGCCTGGTGTTCCGAGGCCCCGGATAGGCCGGGATGGCGTGCGCACCCCTGCGGCGGTAGCAGGCTTTGAGGCCACGGAAGTGCGAAGCAACGCATCATGCGCACTGACATCACGGCGCGGGAGGGCTGCGGCAGCCGCCGCCGCCGCCGCAGCCGCTGCGCTAGCGGTGGCGGCAACGCCATTGACGATTGGCTGTGGATGACCTTGCAACTCGTTGTTGCGGCTTAGCCGGCTTGGGGTTGCAATGGACGTGCTGGGCTGTGCAATCAGCGCTGCCGCGGCTGCCGCAGCCGCCGCTGCCACACGTGAAGGTGCTGGCGACTTGGCCCTCACAAACGGCGCCAGATCCCCTTTTGCCGCGGGACTTAATCCGCCCATGCTCCTGCGCATGGGTGTCAGGGCTGCCTGGCCTGATTCTATCCATTCGCGCTCCAACCCCGCCATTTTCTCTGCAAGCAACTTGTTGTGCTGCTCACGGTTCGCACGAAGCGCTGACAGCGGTGTCGCACACCGCGAGGTGGGGCCTGAGCCCGTCGCCATTGCCTGCAGGTCCCGATCCGGTGTGGAAACTGCCGGCGGCGGCAATGGCGGGCGTGGGCTCAGCGGAATGCGGCTGCCGACAGGCTGCTGTTGCTGCCGTTGCTGTGAGGTTAGTGGCATCTGCCTCTCTGACAGTGAGGGACCCATTGGCAGGTTCGCAGGCACGCCTGCGGTGCACCGACCAAGGTTCAGCGGCGGGACGAAGGGCTTCAACGGCGCAGGGGCTCCGGGCTTGCAGATCAGCTCCTCATGCAGCGCGAAAGTGCCACTATCGATCGATGGTGGCGGGGGGGGCAGCGGCTGCTGACCGGTTGCGCCCATTGCCTGGATCTGATCCAAATTGTCTCCGGCTGCTATCCTGCTCTTTACCTCCTCGACAGCAACCCGGCGCAGCCCAAACGGCGCCAGATCGCGCATTGATGCCGTGAGGTCTGCGGCTGTGGAATCCGCCAGGCACGCCAAGTCGAAGGATGCTGCTAGGGAGACTGGCCCGCGGTCCTCGTCAGACTTGTCCTCTTGTCGGTTCAACTTGGCCAGGATCTTGGCAGTCTCTGGCGAGATTGGCCGCTCCGTGCTGAGGGAGCCGCGGTTGGCGGCGCCAGCGACGCTGGTAGCGTGCTGCACCATAGGCTTGCCTGCTGAGGCTTGGACGGCTGCGGCGGCAGTGGCGGCTGGGGAGGCCAGGCAGGTGGCGCAGGCAATGCGGGAAGGCCGGAAACCGCAAATTGGTGAGTGCAATGATGGTACCGCCAAGGCGAGAGGCTGGTAGAGGCGGTATCATTGTCAGGGGCCAGCCTCCGTAAAGCAGCTGCATGCCCAAGCCTCCCTTGAAATTCTGCTGCGTCAACTCGGAGTCCCCAACTCACGCCACAGCGAACACTTTCATAGACGCTCCAAGTGAGCCCAGGAAAAAGCATGTGAGGTGAGGACTTTTCGCCGTTCAAGCTGCCTCACGATGTTGGCCCATGTACGGGATTTCCTACTCAAAGCGGGCGCACCGATATCATGAAAGGCATGTGCCGCTCATTGGCCCTGGCTTCCTTCCGTTGCCCACTGTAACCACCACCCCCCAATCCCAGATACTCCGGAATAGTGGGTCGCACCGAACTCCTAGCCCACGGCCTTGCACCCGATACCTGCACTTAAGCTGGCTGCCTGCATACTCATCAAGATGCGGCTTTTGCTAGCCATGGCCCCGGTCGGGCGCACATGGCCATACACAGCGCCCACGACCGCGATGGCATCAGCGCCCGGCGGCAAACGCGGTTGCTGCTGTTCCTGCTGCTGCTGCTGCTGCCGCCGCGGAAAGGTGGTATCCCATTCCTCTTCGGATGTGTCCTTGTCGGCGGCGGTCTCATGTTCACTGGCATAGCAGAACGATGATCCCTGCGAGAGGATGGGGCCCAGGAGGGCTCTGCGCAGTACGCTTTCCGAACTGACGGTAGAAACAAGCGGATCTACTCTTCCCACGCCCTGCCGCTTCCACATTGAAAGTACTGTCAGTGCTAAAACATCGTACAGACGCGGAAAGGTCCGAATGTGCTTCGCCTAATGAGGCTCCCTATGCTCCATGCAGCGTCACCATTGCACTGGAGTAGGTGGAGAGGCAATTTTCTGGTGGTAAATCCCAAGTTGCCAGCATGCGCTGCACGGCCTGTCGTGTTGCAACTCGTCTTTAGTGTAGCCGTCGAAGTCGCTGCTATTCCTGAAACTGTGCATGAGTAGGCAGTTCAATTACTAGAAAAGTCCCATAAGGACCACCTGTGCGCACTATTCTCTAAGAGTCATGGTTACAGCGACAACCTTACCCCAGCTCCTTGGTCATCAGCCTTACCTTGCGTTGGATCTTGTTGGTTTGTTGGAAGAGAGCAGAAGGGCCCATACCGCCCGCTGTCGACGGCACAATGCCACGCGCCTTGCGGGCGCTAGCAGCCGCCCCACCTCGCAAGTCAGTCCTGTAGCTGTAGTCCGCCAGCTCTTCTTCCTCATCGTCGCTGCTGCTACTGCTGTCCTGCACGCCAACCTTGTCACCTGCGCGGGTCGATAGGATGGTCGAAAGAGATGAACCTCAAACATGTGCAGAAGCCCGATTGGTTTGCGCACGCGGGCAGACATGCTGGCATTCAACGAAATTGATGAAGTTGTTCGAATATAATGTGGTCCTTACGTCACCACCGCTACCCTAAAGGTCGTATTACACACAAAAGGTAACACGGAGGCCTAAGAACTAGGCAAGAAAAAAAAATTTGGATTGAGGAGGCTGCCAGGCGGTTATGTGCAACCCGCACGTGGAGCCGTGGAGGAGACGAAACGCTGCAATGGGAAACATGGGTTATAGCAGGGTGTAGCAGCTATTGCAGGGTTCGTCTACCAACGCGAAGCCAGTTGCTAAGGAGGCGCGGACACACCGCCAAGACGAGCCTTGATGGCGGCGACCACCTCTGCAGATACGGGGTTCTCGGGCTCGATTACAAGGGCCGGAGGCTGTCGGTAACCATACTGCTGCAGGTGATCCTTCAAATTATCAAGGGTCTTCCGATTGGCCTGGTACAAGGCTAGGCAGTGGCCCAAGAGCTCCTGTGGCGGATTCGATTTAGGGTGGGCCGGTGTAGCATGATGACTGACTTTTGGCGGGAGCGAAAGGGCAATGTCGGCTGAGAACCACATGTATGTGCTTTTGCAGCATCGCGGGCTGCAAATTTAAACCTGTGGCATGCACATGAAAGTGATGATTGTGACACGGCCACGGCCACGGGCCACAGGGTAGCGTGTCATAAGTTATGGGAACCGAAGACTTCTTAAAATGATGGCTGAGATTTGCATCACAAACCGAAATGGCGCGCGTTTCAGCGCGTCCTTTGGGGATGCGCAAGATGGCGACTCGGGGGGTTACCGTGCGTACCCACCTCGAAGGAAATTGTTTCGATAGTAAACCTCTCCAAGTTCTCAACTGCAGTCGTAATGTCGGAGACCTCTTCTTGTATTCCTGACAGTACTTCTCGAAACTCACTCACTGCACCCAGAAGAGGGAATGTGTTCGCTTGGTTCATGAAAAGCCACATGCCTACGCTCCCACGAGCCCTTACATCTTATGCATGGCTTGTCCTGCGTTGCCCTGCTTAGGGAGGCCACGCCATCATTCAGCTGCTGGGTGACCCGACGAAGGTCGTCCGCAAAACGCGTCACAGCCCCACGCAGGGCACGGCGCTTGCTCTTCATTCCTGAGCCTAGACGTATAGATTCTACACGTTGGCGGTGGATGAAAGAAGGTTTGAAACTTTGGCGGAACCCTGCGGAAATGTTACAGTAATACTGGTGTTACGGCCACATGAAAAACTTTGGAAGGCGCAGCCAGTGCTACGTAGCCCTATTTACCGAAACCGTTGTGTTAAGCGCAGGGTCCGCAAATCCTCACTTCATCGCAGCTGTCTATCTACTGAAATCCAACGACTGACGTACATTCCCTTCATCCTCTTCCGAAAAATGGAGTTGCTTCAATGTAACTGTCTATAAACTTCTTCTCATAATAGCTGGTGTTGCACGAATAACTCACGGACACATATTTCAACTTTGACGCAGCACATCGTCTACCTTCGTTATGCAGGCATCTTTATCCGATTTGCTAGCTTACCTGGGGACAGCTCCTTTTAGAACAGCATAAGGTTATTGTTTGTTATTGTTTTGCTCGCATCGAGAAGAGTTTTTATTTACTTAGCATAGCGACACCATTTTGGGGAGTTATTTGCAGTTAGGCGACCGCTAAATTATTCGCAGAAAGCAGAGCGTCCTGTAAAAGCTTGCGGTGGGCCGCGGCCCCGCGAAATCATGGCCGGGAAGCCGCCGCGCTCATTATCAAGACCACGTAGTGCAAGCGACAGAAATGAAGGCGAGAGCGTCTATGCGCTTGGGAAACTCGCTGGTACAGCCCATAGTAATGCAGCACCCAAGGTCAAAGTGTACAACATTGGCCCGGAGCCACCGCCAACACCTGGGGCCGGGAACCCGCCCACGCCCAAAGGAGGCTCTGCCTCTGGGCCCAGGCATCGGATCAACAGCGCTGGAGACAGCTCTCAGGTTGGTTGGACTCAGGCAAGGTGCTTTGGGATATTGGGAACCACACAGGGCCTACGGTTGTTCGGTACACCTTCCCCTTGCACCGGACAAGCTGGTGATGTTTACATCGCCCAATGGAGCTAATCTGTGTAGGCTTATAACTCCTGGAACCACATCATGCTTTGGCAATGAGATTCTGTCCAGTCCATTTTGATGCGGCCCATCCAGCTAATCACCACCACGGATGAGGTATACTTAGCTGCCCTGCGGGGGTCGCACACTGGGCGCCCTTCTTAGCATGTGCACCCGTACAGCAGGACGCTAGCCCTCTTTGCGATGCTTGTTATGAGCTATGGGTCTCCTTATCTGCAGATTGAGAACCTAATGAACCCTGTTCGGGGGCTCCGTGATGCGCAAGCCCGCGCCGGGATCACCCCAACGAACCATGCGAGGAATAACGCGCAAGCAGTCCGCGAGCAGAGCCAGCTTAACGCACTCCGTAAGGCAGCCGAGGGCCAGGAGGAGAGCGGCAGCAAATTAAAGCTTCCTCCAGGTAAGCCCTACCTCGGAAAGGACGCACAGGCTGGATAACAGAGGTCCCATAGTTATCACTGCCATAGCGCTATTTCCAGCACAGGTGCATGGGCCCCTCCGCTTGCCTTGGTTTGGGTTTCGCTACGCGTAGATGTTAATGGGAATTAGTGAAGGACGAGCAACGTCGCCTTGTAGGCTTTCGCACGGAGAGGTGACATCAGGGGTACATGCCGGAGATTCATGGGCTTTGGGCGATCTCTATGGTTGGCATTCTCATACTCGACTGAGCACCGCCCGTCATGTACACGCAGTTCGAAGCTCGTCCGCGCCGACGCAGCGGCCGGTGCAGCGGCGGCCTAGCAGTGGCGGCCGTGACTTCGTGAACGAGAACAAGCTGGGCGCGGTCGCGCCCGTGCGGCCACCGCGGCCAGAGAAGAGGGACTCTGGGGAGAAGTACCTGAACAAGAAGGATTACGGGCAGGTGCGATCTGGGTGATGTTCCAAGTATGGCTAGGTTGGGTTTGGACATGGGGTGGCTGACGGCCGCCCTTATGGCCGGCCTTTGCAGGGTGGTCCAGGGCCGAGGCGTGGGGTTAATGTCAGGCCCGGACTGCGGCGAGTTCAATGAGAGACACCTATTTACGGAAGGTTTAGGTGGTGCCGTGTGCGGGGCGGTGACTGACACCAGGGATTCAGGTGTAAAGCCTTTTGCCTTCACGATAGGTGCTGTGAATTCGCGCTGGATGATGGCTTCACTCTGAATGGGCGCAGTTGGCGCCTTGTACGGGGATTCCTGAGCGTGTCGACGTGTTGCTGTTGCCGCCGCACTCCTCTCTTTGGCGCCATTGCCCATGATCCTTGCTTTGTGGCCGCTGTCCCCGTGCCCCGGTTTTCCTAAGACTATTTTGTGCTGACTGTCTTTCCTTGGTTGTTGCCATGGGGCGTATTTGCTGTAGGTGCCGCAGTACCTCTTAGAGCGGAAGATGCAGATGGCTGCAGATGCGGAGGCCGCTGCCCGGGCCAAAGAAGCTGCGCTCATCCCTCCAGGTACGAGCGGCATGTGTAGTTCTTATTTGGTTCAACTATGTCTGGGAAAGCATACGTCTGGCATTATGTAGTGCTGACAATAAAACAGGAGGACAGCGCCTTTGATGCTGAGTTTTTATAAGCTGCCGGCGTCCTTCCTCGTCGCTTCTAACCTCCACGCCCTTCCCCTTATTGTTGCCTGTAGGTATGCGACTGATGCCAGAGGAGGAGCGATTAGAAACGCTTGAGTTGTTGAAAAAGAACCGCGAGGAGGTCGAGCGCGCCATTCAGGCGTTGCCCCTGCGCATCGAGACCTTGTCAGCTGTTCGTCGCAAAGAAGAGCTTGAGCGGCGGTTAAAAGAGATAGAGGATGCTTTGAAAATATTTTCGCGTCAAAAGGTTCTTGTGCACGTATGACTAGGAGCTGCCTGCTGTTCGACAAGAGCAATGCTCGCTCGCTAAGCAGGACAGACGTAGAATTATGCCAGGCGTTTTTTAAAGTGTGAATTGCGAGCGTTTTATGTCAGTTCCCATGATGCAATCAACGGGCAGATGCTGCGAGGTCATCGCGCTATAGGTGCTGGGCGCTACGGGCTATGGCTTGTAACGATCATTGCTTATGATAATATCCTACAGTTTGATGTGAAACGCTCCGGTTATCTTGGATACAACGAACATGGTGGTTGGTCTGGACGTGCCGTGACATGTGAACGTTGTCACATCCTCACTAGCATATGGTTGTATTATCGTTTGAAACATCGCGGTGAACATATTGTATACTTATTGGCAACTATCTATGTTGTAGACTTTCCTCTTCAGCAATTGCGCACTATGCATGGCCCCAATGCTAACGCTGTGGAGCCAACTATACAAGGCAGCGGTACCATTTGGATCTTAACAAGCTTTTTTGATTGTCACCAGTCAACTTTCCGCTCTTCTGACAGCAACAAAGTGCAGTCATATCTGGGCGGAGGACTGTAACGGCGCAGCGTGATTTCTACCGATTGACAATTGTTAACCTTCTACTGGTATGGACCTGTTGCTTGCTTAGGGAAGCGTTTGCGAGCGGTTGTCGCGGCTTTGTACATAACCTTCTGGCTGCCTTTGGACAGGGGGAAAATATTGGCGAGCTCTTGTGATGTTTCAAAAGATAACGTATTTTTACGCTTGGTAGCAAGGAGATTTACGCAGGTGGCGTGTGGCGAAGGAAACGAAGGGAAGAATGCAAGGGTAAGATGTTGTGGCCCATACTCCCGATGTTGCACTAGCAGGCCATCATCTAAAGGAGTACTGTTACAGGTATCCTCCGCGCCTGCTGGCGCTGTGTGAAAGGTGCCCTCCGGTCATGCTCAACCGCGATTTCTGGTGAGAGTGAGGATCAAAACGTCGTCGACAACACAGATTGTCGCAGTTTGAGTTGTCACGTCAGTGGGCACCTGTGCGTCCTTGGGGTACTGCTGTGTTTACGTTCTATTGTTACAATGATGATAACGACTATGGAGCTGCAGCGCGTGTCAACATTTGCATTATCCGTCTTATCATGGTAACAGGTCCATCAAGGACTTTGCAATGGTGAAGGAGGTGGGCAGCGGCGCGGCTTCAAACGTGTACTACGCGATATGCCGCAAGAGCACGCAGCCGGTTGCGATTAAGATGTACCTGAAATCGAAGCTTAGCAAGCTGAACAGGCGCCAGGTGCGTTCGCGGTTGCTACCAGCGTGAGAGCCCGTTGCGCCCACTGCTTTCACCGCACGGCTCGTAACCCCTGAATTCCGCGGCCCAACCGCAACCCGCCGATGCGCGTTGCGCCGCCCGGAGCACCGAAGTTCTGTTTTTTCATGCCTCCCCGCTCTTTAAGTGTCCATTCTATGACTAGCCGGTCGGATCAGGCATGGATAATGGTTTCCGATTCCAGCTCATGGTCTCTTACACATCCGACGAGCGTTGGCAAAGATTCCTCACCGCCCCAAGTTTGTTCTCCAGAGTCTGCATTGACCTCCCCCTTTAAAATAAAAGCTCAGCGTGTCTATGGGCCTTCCAAGTGGCGCTGGGAAAGCTCAGTCCATACCATTCAAACACGCTGGACCCAGCCCAGAAACGAGCCGAAGTTTAGAAGCTTAACCCCATCCGGCCCCTCTTTTCCGGTGATCTGTAGGTGGAGCGAGAGATTAACATCCACTCGTCATTGAGCCATCCAAACATCATTGACTTTGTACGTGGAAGGCTTGGGGGGGGATGGGGTTGGGGAACCGTAGGCTTGGGAGGGAGGGCGAGAGGGAGATGGGGAGGAAATAGGCTACCAGCAACGTCAGGCGGCAGCTTTGTCCGCTGTGGCAGAAGCGGAGATGGCGGGAGCTCGATGTCTTGCGGGTCAGCCGTGTGAGGGTGCAGTGGCGGCAGGAGGAGTGCTGGTGAACGGGAAGGAGGGGTGCCGTTTCCATCTTTTCACGCCCATGGCAGCTCCATCCCGCTTGCCGCACGGCGTCCCTGCATCTCTGGGGGACCTAAACGTTTGGGTGCGAGCCGAACGCGTCCTGGTCTTTGGTCAGGGTCTTTTTTTCTGCTAGCGGCGTGCGCCGAGGGGTGTGCGTGTATTATGCGGAAACGCACACAGGGGACCCAGGCAGGCGCCCGCGTTAGGGGGGAAAGACAAGCAGCGCGGAAAAGAGAAGCAACTGGGGATTATCGGAAGGCGGCAGCTTCCGTGTTTGGGGTCGTGACTCGTACCTAAAAGTTGTTACCCATTCATAGCTCAAAAGGGCTCTTTTGTTTTGACCTGCGTGGATGGGCGCATAGGTTAGGCGTCGGTGGCGTCGGCGTGTGGGGGTAAATTCGACAGCTATGCGTTGACCCTGTTAATCACGGTGGCTGCACAGCTAGGTATCAAATAGTAGCGGGACCGCGCCCGCTATCTGGGGTGATGTTGTTTGGATGCGGGGCGATGGGGCTGGTTGAGTGCCGTATGGATCAGGTCGGGTCGCGTCGGGACGCCCCGAAGTAAGCAAGTCAGCCTTGGATAGTTCAGGGTGTTGTACGCTTTAACAATATAAGCGAGATGGTGATGTGTCAGGGTTGGCCGTGGGTGCTCTGTCGTTGATGTGGCTTGGCTGCTGCCGCTCGGTAGGTGGCAGGCCCTGCGGGACGAGGTGTAAGGGAGCCAACGAACAGGAGGCATTCCTTGCTGAACACGCCAGAGTTTAGCTTCCAACTTCTTATGCGGTTTGGAAGTTGTGAGCGATCCTCCTTCCTGGGGCCCCAACATACATGTATATATACATACATACATATATACATACATACATACATACATACATACATACATACATACATACATACATACATACACACTCTCGCTCATGGATTATGGATTAATAAACACACTCACACCCACGGACGACGTTCCAGCCAAAGGCTGCCTGTGGCTCAGGTTATGAAGACATATGGACGATGTTCTACCCCTCGTACCGCATGCCTTAGGGTGGCTGGTTGCTTTGTTAAATATTTTGTCGCCGTGATTGTTTTGTTCGCAGTATGCAGCTTTCGAAGACGACGAGCGGATCTACCTGGTTCAGGAGTATGCGGCCGGGGTGAGCGCGTGGTCGTGCCTGATCGTGTATGGGGTTGAACGTGTGACGCCTGATCACCTTGAGTTCTAGTTTCCCCCAGCAAATCTGGTTGCTGTGTAGATAGAAAAGCAGCCCACATCGTCTTTTTGCCGCCTCGGCCACAACAGGGGGACCTCTTTGACGATGTAAAGCGTCGCGGCGGACGCCTTCCGGAACGAGAAGTCGTGCAGCACGTGCTTTACCCGTACCTCACCGCGCTGTCGTACCTTCACGAGCGCGGCATTATACACAGGTGGGGTGAGGGTTGCCCCGGGATCCGGTTGCGCTGCACGACCTGCGCGCGCGCGTGTATGTGTGTGTGTCTGTGTGTGTGTGGCCATTGGCTGCGCTGGCCCAGACCCCGATGAATTCCACAGTGGGGCTTCCTGGTCACGTGCCCTGCTTAGGCTTCAAGTCAACTACCTCCTGTCTCCCATCCCATCCCTCTCCACCTCTTCCATCTGGTCCTTTTTTATTTTTCTCTCCGAAACCTGTCACGTGGTACAACACCCATCCACGAACTTGGTTTTAAACGGTTCGCATCTTATCCTCTCCGGTTTGACCAAAACCCAGATCCAATTTGATCGGACCTAAACTGAATCCCCGTTGAAATCCAAAGTATTAAAATTTAAATTTACTCCTCGCAGGGATATCAAGCCTGAGAATACGGTCTTCACTCGCGAGCGGGTCCTCAAGGTGACGGATTTCGGACTTGCAATTAACGCGCGCACGGAGCGGCCCGTGACTCGCTTGGGCACCTTGGATTACATGGCGCCCGAGGTAGGTCGCGGGGTGGCAATTGTGTGTGTGGGAGGGGGAAAAGAGAGTATGGTTTGACTTGCGGGGTCCCTTTCCATTGCTTTTCGTTAGGTGGCCAAGTCATCATAGGCTATATATCTTTTTCCTTTGGTTTTTTTATCTCGTCCGCTTCCTCAAGTCTAGCTTGTGTTCTTTCCTTTGGCTTCATTTTTTTAGTTTTTAGTTAGTGGTGGTGAAGGACGGTAAGGTATTGCGGATTTCATCTCCTTTGGTGCCCTCTTGTATTTTCTTTACCCGCGTCTTACATGTTTTCCTCCCTTCGTGTTCTTCTTCATAATTTCCTCCTTCAAAGTCCCCTTCGTAATCCTCTTCTCTTCTTCAGGTCCTCCGCTGCCCCGACAAGCACTCCCCGGAGGACAACAAGGACCAGTTGGATCTAGTGTACGACGCCTCAGTGGACGCCTGGGCGATGGGGGTGCTGGCGTACGAACTCATTGTGGGCCGCCCGCCCTTTGGCATGGTGAGATCGATTGGCGGTTGGTGGTTGGCCGGTGAAGGGGATTTGGCCAGAGTGTTGTCAATGTCGTTTGTAGCACGGGCGACGGGTGCGCAGCTGTGGTGGATTCCGGATTGTTTGCGTTGAATGTGAGTCCGAAGGTCCTTAGAGCCTGGGGTCTATTCGCGAATACGTGTTGTGTGTTTGACTTTTGGTTTCGTCCTGTGAATATGATTTGCGTTCACCTTTCTTCTTTGCATGTATGTTACTTTCATACAGTCATCTCCCATTTGACATGTCCCCATTGAGTTTCGTCCTTTCCCGATTCGGGTCCGTCTTGTTTCTTGTCCGCACCCGCGCCCTCTTCGCTCCTGCCTCTGCCGGCCGACCCGTCCGTGAAGAGCTGTCGGGAAGCCACCATGAGAGCCATAGTGGCCGCCAGTCCCTCCATTCCCGACTGGATGTCACCCGCAGCTGCGGACTTTATCAGGTCTGCGCTGCAGCGCTCGTCCTCCAGGCGGCTGCCCGTACAGCAGCTGCTGCAGCACCCTTGGATTATGAGCCACGTCGGGCACATCAGCGTCGCCAGGTACGTTTTAAACCGGCTGCTGCAGGGCGAGGGGCGCGTGGTGCGGGGTGGGGTCGGGCAGGAAGGGAAGGAGAGTGGGAGGGAGGGAGAAGGAGGCGAACGGGATGGAATGGGAACGGGGTGAGGAGCAGGTTTTGCGGCTTTTTCCACTTGCGGGACGACATTCTAAGGATGGCATTTAATTTGTGAATTGCCTTTCGACTTCGTTTACAGGTCCGTTCAGGTTGCGCCGGCAGCCCGGAATCTTCCCTGTGGGTCGGAGGCGGCGGTGGCGATTGCTGCCGCTGCGGCCGGCGCCACAACAGGCGTTGGCTCCGGCGCCGCTGCCGGGGCCGGGGAGCCTGTATCCGCGAGCTCGTCCAGGTCCCTCTTCTATCACCCAGGTGGGCCCTATAAACACCTCGTGGCGGCGCCGCAGAGCTGTAGCTCCGCCTCGGCGAGTGAGCTGGGTAGCGGCCGCCCTGACGGCCTTGGCGGCGGTGGCACCATCACGGCTGCCATGGCGTACGGCAGTGACCAGCGGCCCGCCAAACGGCAAGTTCAACGCTGTCAGAGCGCGTCCTTGGAGGCTGCTGTGGGACTCGTTGTTAACGGTGGTGGTGCAGCAGCCGCCGCCGCCGCTGCCACTGCGCTCTCGCCGCCATCCGGGCTTGTTGCGCAGCAGGGCTCGACTGCGAACGCGCATATGCACGTTGACCGCGTGCACGATCAAGTATCGTACTGGGTGGCGGACGGCAACCGGTTTAGTCCGGACCCGATGGTCGGACTCGGTAGCGGCGGTGTTGGTGCCGTACAGCAGGTGCTGCAGCTGCAAAACCCACAGCAGCTGGCGCCGGCGGTGGCGGCGGTGACCGCCGGTAGCACTGCTAGCCCAGTAAGCAGCCCGATGGCTCTGGGGCGCGCCCAGGACTTCTACCAGTCGCAACTTGCGCGTGCTTTCACCGACGCCGCCAGCGGTGGCGGGGATCTCTACGGCGCCAAGGCCGCACAAAAACGGACGGATTTTCCAACGTTAACGGGGGCGATGGCGACGCAGCAGCTGCAGCAAGAGCAGTCGCTAGAACAGCTCGAGCAATCTTACCAGCAGCAGTTGCAGTTGCAATACAACCAGCAGCAGATGATGTTAATGTCGACATTGGTTCACCACCACCAACAGCAGCAACAGCAATTTCAGCAACAGCAACAAAATGCTGCCGAGCAGCAGCAGCAGCAGCAGCAACAGCAGCAGCAACAGCAGCAACAACAACAACTTCAGCAACAAATAATGCAGCACCAGTTTCTGTTATTTCATCAACAACAGCAGCACATATTGGCGGCGACTGAGGCGCAAAGACGAAAGCAGCACCAGCAGCAGCATGTGGATGGCGACTCGGCATCGGGGTTCGGTGAAAGCACCGCAGCCGGCGCCATTGCTAGCGCCTCGCCCTCCGCCGTCGAGCCCCCGGTCCCGCCGCGTACGGCAGCCGACTATTACCGATCTCACCTGGAGGATGCTCCTGTAGTGGGCAGCGGTTGCCGCACCTCCCCGGGCCAACGCGCCCTGTCACGGTCCTTTACGGCGCGGCACGCCGGTCGTACGGCAAGCAGCAGCGCCGGCGTCTTGGCGGCGGCAGCAGCCTCCGCAGCCGCAGCTGGGAACAGTGCGCCAGGCGTGCAGTCGCCCGCGGCGGCGCGGCTGCTCCGAAACGGCAGTAGCAGCAGCGGAGGTTCGATGAAACGGCGCACCCCGGATACGCACGACTGGGACTTTCCGCTACTGCCGGCGGGGCAATCTGCACAACAGCTACAGCTGCAGTACATGCAAGTTCCTAGGTCCGGTGCTACAGCTGGAGGAAGTGCAATGTCCGGGTCGCCGCTTGGCCGGAACTCCGACGCGTTCGCTGCTGCTGGCGGCGCGGCGGCGTACTTCACAGGCACCGCTGTCGCAGCGGCTGCAGCCGCTACAGTAGCGGCGGCGGCAGCATCGGCCGGCAGCGGTCTCACGACGCCGTTCACTCCGTACTGCGCGCTCACAGCAGCGTCGACGGGAGGGACAATCAATACCGGTCCGTCGCCATCTATGCCGCAGCTGGGCGCCTCTATATCGTTAACTTCATTCGGCTCCGTTGGCGGCCGCCCCAGCAGATTATCGAAGGCGATTCGTCGCGTGGATTCGCTGGATCCCGGGGATGGCGGATTTGGATTTGGTTCAGGGCACGGCAGTCACGGCAGTGACGGGTCCGGATCAGGCGGTAGCGGCCCGTTACCGGCGGCGCTGCCATTGCCACTGTGCAGCGGTGCTACAGCCGCAATGGCTGCGCTGGACCAACTAACCCTAGCGTCTCCCCTAACAGCTGCCGCCGCCGCTGCCGCTCTGAATACGACAGATGCAGCTTGTGAAGGTAGCACCGCCGCCGCCATGGCCGCGGCAGCCGCCTTGCAGGCTGCACCCTGCTTGGCCAGCGGGGCCGCCGTAGCTGCACTGAGGCACCCACCTGAGACCGATGGCGGGGGCAACGGCGGCGGCAGCGGTGCCTCGTACAACACACTATCTGACTCGTCTAACGGATCCTCTGCCGCCGCGTCAACGGCAATAACTGCCGCCAGCCTTGGCGGTTCCTCGGGCCCCTACAGCGCTTCCGCTTGCAGCCACGGCTACTCTGCTGCCAGCGGCTGTAGCAATTTAACACTTGGTGGCGGCGCCGCCGCCGCCTGTTCAGCTTCTGCCGTCGCCAGTACAAGTCATCGCACGCCGTCCATGACGACATGCGGCGCGTTTCCTTCTGCCGCAGCTCACAGCATGGCAGCCCTCCGCCTGTCGCTTCCCACCACGTTGCCTCGTTTGGGAATCCCCGCTGCCGGCAGCACCACCGGGAGTAGCAGCGGTGCCGCCGCGACCGCCGCCGGCGGCTTGCGGTCTCATCCGCTCAGCAGCCCGCAGATAACGCCGTGGTCGACGCCGCTAAGCTCCCCTGCGGCTGGGCGAATGCCAAGAATGCATTCTCAGCCGCAAACTGCTTCCTTCAATACTTTGTTGGAGTTAATGGAGGCTGATGGTGGGCTGGCGATGGCGGAGGCGACCACTAACGGTGGTACGACAGCAGTGGACGCCGTGCGCGGCGGCGGCGGTGGCGGAGGCGCTGGCAACTTGGATCCTTGGATGGTGGCGGCGGGGCAGGCGCAGGTGGCTGCCGGCACGGGGAGAGCGGACAGCCAGGTGCCGATGCAGGTTGATGAGGCCAGCGGGGAGCAGCCAGTGCCGTACTTTGGTCAAGCAAGGTATGGGACGGATCAAGATGTCGGGGCGAGCGGTGGCGGAGTGAATGGTGCCGGTTACGCCGCTGCCGCGACGTCGACATCGGCGCCGCAGCTGCAGTTGCATCAGATGTCCCCCGAAGACCGGTGGGCAGCAGCTTGGGCTATGGCAGCGGCGGCTGCAAGCGGCAGCGGCGGCAGCCATACGACTCCCACCGCGCCTGCAACCCCGCCATCCTCATTGGGCCGCACAGGAAGCCTAGGGTTTGGCTTCTCCACTGGCGGCGCCGGCGGCGGCGCGGCCGCCGGCGGATGTGCCGTACATGCGCCGTCGCCGCTGGGGCGGGACCAGCCGTACCAGCAGGCTCGCGCGGCGGCAATGCAGCAACACATTCGCAGTCGGTCATTGAACAGATTCCAAATGGAGCAGTTGGGGCTTATGTCGGTATCCAGTTCCTCTGGTGGGGGTGGCGGCGGCGGCGGAAGTGCTTCGGCAGCGGCTGTTATGCCGTCACCGTTCGCGGTTTCGCCGCCGATATCCCCGCGTGGGCCTGCAGGCGATGGCGCTGCTGCTGCTGCTGCTGGTCCTGAGGTCCTTGCTGCAGCCACTAGCTCCACCGGCGGCGGGGGCGGCGGTAGCAGCGGCGGCGGCGGCGCGTTTGGAAATCGGCTGGCGCAGCAGGTAGTGTCGCCGTCAGCCTCAGTTCGAGGGCCGTCTTACGCCCCGACCATACACATGATGGCCGGCGTCCGTCCTTACACCCATTGCGGAGCGGGTGCAGTGCAATGCGCTGGGAATGCCGTCACGTCACCCAGCCCGTTGGGGCTTCGAAACAGCCGGAGTCGTGCCAGCAACGGCAGTAGTGAGGACACGAGTAACAATCAACTGCCGTACATGGGAGGTACGGCAGCGAGTCGGCCCAGCGACACATCTTACGAGCCTCCGCGCGCTCAGTAGTGTTGCAAGAGCGGCCCGGCGGCGTGATTGGCTGGCTGGCTGGCTGGCTGGCGGTGGCGTCGGGCCGGCAGGGCTCCTGGGCACTGGGAGCGACAACCCACAGCGCCTCCGTTGCGCCACCAGCAGTCCTATGGGTTGTGGATGGCTACACGAGTGAGTACACCTCCATCCCTATCCATACCCTTCGTACAGTAGCAGGCGGGTACACCAGAGAAACGTCACTATGCCGCCGCCGCCACCACCCCACCTTCCCGGCATTCGCCGCACCCAACAGCCACATTACCCCTCGCAACGCAGCGCAGACAACAGCAACGACATCATCATCACCATCACCATCATCATCATCATCATCATCATTAACATGACAATATGACATCGCGGAAGGAAGTTCGTCGTAGTAGGGACCTTTCTGATTCACTGCGCAGATGACCTTGGAGCAGCAGCTCTCAGCAGCAGAAAACGGAGCTATGTGCTGTTGTGGTGGTGGTGGCGCTTCGGAAGGGTTGCGGCCCCGGAAGCCAGTTGGGATGAGGAGGAGGTGATGGTGGTGGTGGATACGGCGCTACGTGTGAGGCGTATGTGCTTTCCCAATGTGCGCGTGTGTGTGTCTCAGTGTGTCGGTGTGTCAGGTGACTCGTTAGCACATCTTCAGGAAGACGACCCGCATCAGGAGGGGGATCAGGACCCGCATCAGGAGGGGGATCAGGACCCGCATCAGGAGGGGGATCAGGACCCGCATCAGGAGGGGGATCAGGACCCGCATCAGGAGGGGGATCAGGACCCGCATCAGGAGGGGGATCAGGACCCGCATCAGGAGGGGGATCAGGACCCGCATCAGGAGGGGGATCAGGACCCGCATCAGGAGGGGGATCAGGACCCGCATCAGGAGGGGGATCAGGACCCGCATCAGGAGGGGGATCAGGACCCGCAGGTGTCCGCTATGTCGGGCCGTTCATCACTGACCTGAATGTGTTAAAAGGTGATGGCGGCCGGCGCGGTGTCAATCGTCGAAAGAGTCGACAGCCGAAGAGCAACTACACTACTTGAAGCCATGCTTCGATTGTGCTGATATTGACGGGTTTGGGGTCGATTAGGGCTCCCTTGGCAGAGAGGCGTTGGATTGCGGCATGGTTATAGCTTGGGGCCTTTGGCGTGTCTTAAGTACGTAGTAGTATGTATGTATGTAAGTTTTAATGTATGCAGGTGGCGTAGAGCTGGTGTGGTGGGTGAAGCGCGGGAAGGCCTCCGTGGGTGTCTCTCTAGGGCTTGCATGCTCTTAACCGTCCACTGTTGTATCGGCGCCGAGTCGCCCCCTCCTCCTCCCGGGGGGTTTGTTTCTCCTCTCCTCTCCCCTCGAGTTGCTTGGGGGATAGAGGAAGGCAGTGTTGGTGTCAGTGTGTGTGTGTGGAAAATGCGCATGGTTAGGGCCATGTGTCTATATGTATGTATGTCTTTGTTGTTGGTTAAACAGTCATGGTTGTCGTCCGATGGGTTGTTCCTGAGTCCTGCACTGCGGGATGGAGCATTCACACATCTCCCTCCACTTCGCTTTCCGCTGAGCTGGAGTTTGGCTTTCTGGAGAGCTCTTCTGGCGGTGAGGAGGCATTTGGGTCGAGGGCGGAGGATGTTCAGGGGGGAGGGATGGGGATGGGGGATGTTTGAAGTTACCATCTGCTGTGTGGTGGGCGAAAAGTGTATGTATGTGTGCGTGTTTGTTTGTCCTATGTTTTTCGGTTTGTCGTCTTAGTAGAATATTTGGTCCAAATCCGGCGTTCCATAGAGCTGAACCGCACGTTGACCTTTGAAGTGGAGGCTCCTCAGCTCCATAACCAGGGGAGTGGAAAGGTAAGCAAGACAATCGCAACCTCTCCTCCCGTGTTTTGGGATATGAGCCGAACCGTCCAAAAGCGAGTTTGTTTTTGGCGCTAAACAAGTAGTTACGGGGAGAACAACGCTGTGCTGTGCCCCGATCGCGGAGCTGTCATGTTTGCCGCATTTCATCGGGGAGCGGTTGCCAACGGCTTTTTCACCATCGCCAGTGGTGGACGTTTTCGGCGACCCTTTCCTCCCTCTCCTGTGTACATACACCCCGCTAGTGTACCTGTTTTCCTCAACGAGCTTCCCTACTTCCATTTCTTTCAAATAATATACATATGTATAACCCGTTAGGGGGCATTGGTGTTTGTGTGCCGCTAAGGGCGCTGCTGCTGCTCTGCGTGTGTGTGTGTGTGTGTTGTCCTTCCTAGGTTCGCGATCCTCAGCAAGTCATACCGCTGGTGCTGAGAACGGGTGCCCCCACCGTTATTATTAGATGCAACGTGTGCACATCATCAGACATCATTACAGACAGCATCATCAGGCTCTCAGCTCGCTCTGCGGCAACTCGTAGCGCTACACACGCAGCCCTAAGTAAAGTTACTTTTGAGCAGCAGTGCTCCACCGTTGAGAAGGAGGGCCTCTCTGGAGGTCTCTGTGTCGCGTTGTGTTGTGTTGTGTTGTTATGATGAGGTGGGTCCGCTACCACGGCACGTGGGGTTCCCCCCAGGTTTGGAAGGGATATGCGGTGGTTGCATGGTACGTGAGTAGTGTAGCGGAAAAGAGTCCGGAAATCATTCCAGTCTTCACCACGGGTGATGCTGGTATGATGAGTGCGCGTGTCGGCGCCTGGAGAGCCCGGCGCTAGAACTCCTGCGGCTGCAGATGCAACGAATGAACGAGCACGCGGCTCGTCGAGTGCTCATGTTTGGTGTCGGGGCGCATGGGGTGGACTTGCAGGTTTTGGACCAGGTTGACGAGCGCTGGAACCGGGGGCTGGTGTGTCTGGTGAGGAGGGAGGTGTGGTGGTGGTGGTGCTGCTGCAGGTTTAATCAAACTGGGACCGCGCACCTGGAGAGGTGGGGGTGCTGCTATATACTTAATTATGCCGGTATCTGTTTGCAGTCTTATGTAGTGTGGTCACCCCCCCTGCGTGGCGATTCAGCGGGGTTCGACGGGTTGACACTTGGTGGTGCGTGTGGCGTTGAATCTGATGGTCGGGGGGGAGGGACACTCAGCCGCTCTTTAAAAGTGCGGGTGGTGGGGGAAGAAGTAAAGGGGCTCGCCATTGAGGCTTTGTGCGGTGTGGTATGGTATGGTATGGTATGGTATTGTGCGGTGTGGTGTGGTGTGATGCCTTTATTTTGCAGTGCGTGGTGCGGTGCCTGATGAATATAACCGACCGCATTTTTCAGATTGTGTTCCTTCGTTACGCACAATGGATTCTCAACAGAGCTGGATAGCACAGGATGGCTGTTGCTGCTGCTGTTATAAGTTTGGAAAAGTGAGGGACTTCCAGAGGCAGTGGTTATGCCTCCTTGCTTGCCTGTTTGTCTGTCTGTCTGTGTTGCTGGTTTTTTTCTCGTTTCACGTGTCTGTATCGCTGTAACAACCGCCAAAGGGAGCCCAGCCCGCCGTACCCTTTTATGTTAGGGACTGGATGACCCGCTAGACTGGCGGTTGGCGGTTGGAATGTTTTCCGTGGAGGTCCTTTTGTGACGGCCCCTTTTCTTCCGAGAAACGTTTTCATATTCTGAGGCCTCATCATCTACACCTACGTATGTGTGTATGTATGTATGTATGTATGCGAACCTAAAGTGCTATGCCTGCGAGGATTTGGGTTTTGCTTGGAAGCCCCCTAGAAATCCCAAGCGTTCGCATAATCTGCTGTGAGGTTGTTGGAACGGCCGCTGCGGCCCTTTCCAACCGCACATTATCTCTCTCCCCCTTATATGCGTTCTGCTTCGTATTGCTTGGTGCGTGTTGGTCTTCCTTTCGCGGGTTTTTTCACAAACTGGGGTTCGTGTTCGTCCGGGGGAAGGACTTCGTAACGAGGTCCTGGTTCCCGTAATATTGAACCGTCGCCGTCGGGTCCTGGCACCCAGGGGTTGACATGACCCGATGCAGCATGACGCGCCGTACATATGCCGTACCCTTTGGTGCATATCGTACCGTCCCGTATTGTGTGGTATCATCTGCCCGCGCATGTCTACCTACCTATCCAGAGCATGGTTATGCCTGGAGGGCGAGTGGACCGGGCCTGGGAACGATCCCCAATAATTTTAAGTCTTTTGTCCAGAGCGGTCTCTCTTTATCGTGCTGTTGCTGCTGCTGCTGCTGCTGCTGCTGCCGGTTCTCGTCGTTTTCTCCAGGTGCATTGCCCTTTGGGCCTTAGGGTGCGCACCCCGCTGAACAGCGTGGCTGCGGTGGAGGTGCAATGCTGGTACATATGTATGTATGTGGATAATGAAGTGCTGCCAGTCAGTGAGTGAGTGAGTGAGTGTGCTACCAGGTTCTGAACTGATGAAAACGGTTGTGACGATTTAGCAATTGCAACTGCAATGGCACCAGCAGTACGACAACGATGCTAAAAAGGTTCTAAACCCCAGTGTCCTGTACTGTCGGTCGGGAATATTGCCGTGGCGATTGCCCCGTGGTGCGTGTGTATGTATGTATGTATGTATGTGCGCGCAAAGCAGTGGCTGCTGTTTGGGGTAGTGTGATGGGTTGTGTGGGTAGGGTCGTGTGTCATGTGGCTCTTGGAGTTGGTGATACCGAAGCGCAGGGGGCGTTAGTTTATCTATTCGGTGTACCTTCCGCCCAGAACTCGTCTTGCGGCAGAGCGGCAACAGGGCGGACAACGTCCGTTTCCATCTTACCTGGTTATGTGTCACGCTCGGGGTTTCTGTTATTTTTAGGATTTTGGTTTCATGACAGTTAATCTTGGCCAAGATGCTGCCCGTGGTGGAGGGCCCCCGGGCTTTTTTAATCTATTAGATGAGCGTTTTCCTGTGTAGGAGTGCATTTCTGTTGGCTATTTACAAATATGCTGGAACATTGTGCGGCGTGGGAGTTTTTCCCTACCTCTCGCGGAAAGGAAGACACACCGTCTACCCCGACCCTTATAACGCATTGCGGGTGGGGGGGTATGTGGGTGTCGTTTCCCCTCTCGATGTGCGCGGAGGACACAGAGGCTCCAGGCGGCCCCTTCCCGGGTGACTGCTGTGATGATGGATGGGCGTTAGTGGGAGTCATCCGTGGGAAGAAGTGCATTTGGGTTTTTCATCTGTGCGACCGGGCATTGGAAAAAGGAGCCTGACGTCACCTGATGTTACGTCTCTAGGTGTCGGCGAGTGACGTGGTGCTGTACTTTTTTTATTTGTTGCCCTAGGTTAGTGAAGAGAAGAGTGGCGCTGTGGCGGCGGCGTTAAATTGTTGGCAACGGCGGCGGCGAGAAAGCGCGCGGCGTGTGCTGGCAGACGCCAAGCATGCCGACAAGTACTTGCTCCTGATGACGTGGACGCACGATCACTTTCTTCCTCTGTCCTCTGCGTACTGCGTTCCGCGACCGGCATGGCGGGTGTTGGACATGGCGGGTTCTCAGCTACCCTACCTACCTACCGGCCGATAGGGGCGCAAACAACGCAAGACAGCAGATTTGCGAAAAAGACGGAATTGGAAACCACAGCGCTCTCCCCCTTCCGGGCGCTGGATCGACGGACGCCATCTGGTTGTACACACTTCATCTATCCAACCAACTGCAGGACTGACCCCGTGCGCTGACTTCCGACTTCCATCCGTTGCGACCTGGGGATAACCTATGTCACCTAGGGAAACCATGGGGTCGGACAGGTGGTGTGACTTCGGCGCTGTGATGTGCCGCCGGGGGTTGGGGGATGGGATGGCAAGCATGCTCAATCACTTCGCAGTTGCCATCATTATCGTCGTGGTTGTCATTATCTTGGGGTCACCTGGTCTCTTCTTTTTTCTGGTGGTTTTTCCTCCTAGCGTGTTTATGTATTTGCGTGTGAATATGTGTTGTGTGTGTGCTCTTTGCTGCCTCTCCTCCATCTTCCCCATTAGCAGCTTTAGTTCCGCGCAACGGAGTCTTCCTCCTCTTCATGATCCTTAGCGCTGTGATGGGCTTTTCATCAGCGCCCTTCCTTTTCTTTTCCAGTTTGTGTGACGTGCTCCACGGAAGGGGATGGGAGGGTACGAAAGGTGCCTCTCGCGCCTCCTCCCGCATTAAATGGCGAGTTGGCGGCTGCCTATTCGGGCCAGGGCCAGGTTCTTCGTATGTAAAGTAGTATGCGAGTGCGGTTGAGAACTTAACTCCGCATGATGTATGGGTATGTACCAAGTGGAACCATTCTCTACATCACGGACGCTGTGGTTAAAATGCCTGTGGTGGGTTCAGAGGTCTGGCGACAGGCTGGCGAGGTGATCAGGTGAGGGGGTGGATAGGTGAGGGGCGCTGGGCAGTTGGCTACGTGAGTTAGCCGCATGGCGCTGAGTAGTAGTGCATAGGCGGTGGGAGTGGGTGGAAGCGGCGGTCTGGGCGAATTTGGAACGGGAGGCACCCAAGCAATGCACCTGATGATGCGATGTGTGGTAGTAAGGGGCAGCGGAGGTTGCGGGCCACTTGAATTGTAGTGCGAGCATTACGGTTTATTGCAAGGAAATGCATGGAAGCAGCGGCGCATTACTTACGTTAGGGCCACCGGGCATGTGAGGCCAGTTAGAGGGTGGTTAGAATCTCGTGTGAGTTCAAGTTGGTAAAGAGAGAGCATTTGGTGATTTAAGGGTGTATTAATACATTGACGCATTGGGCGCTTCGAAGGCTATTGGTGAAAGCGTTGGTAGTTGAAAGGAAAGAATTCAAGAAGGAACACATATTTAGCGCTTGCGTGGAACTTTTTCTTTTTACGGCATCAGCTAGAGGAAAACAAGTGAGGTTATGAGTTCTGTCCTGTTGGTAACCTTAAAGATGTAATGATCATATTTGACTGCAAGTCATGCAGACGGGGCGCCTTTGTCCCTTGCCCCGTCATTTGGTGAAGAGACAATTTCCGCTACTGCCAGATTCCTTTACTAATAAAAAAAAACCTTTGATACAGGCTTACATGAGACCTGGAATCGGTACGGCCTGGCAGAATGCTATCAACCTGCCTACGTCGCCAAACGTTACTTACGCAACAAGCTATCCACAAAAAACACAAATAAAAGCTTGGCTGCAACTCAGTCTGCATTGAAGCAACCATACATGTCCGGTGCTGACCTGCCCCAGTGGGAAAGCGTTATATGGACCAACGGCGGCCGTTCACCCTACATCATACCCCAAATGAATCACCAGACCTCCACACCTTCCAAATCCTCCTTTCCTGACAAAGTGCCGTAAAATCCCGTGGTCACCACATTAACGCTCAGCCAATGTGGGCCGTCATTTTATCCCGATCGTTGTCGGTTGGATAAGGTGAGTCCTGTATGTACTCAATTCTCTTCTTTGGAAGCAGAAGACGTTCAGTTTCGACACAACTTCACCGCATACCCCATCGGGGGCTTCTGGTTGCCGTTGCAAGTGGCAGCATGCACAACGTTCGTTTCCCAAACAACTCCCAACAGCTTTGGCCAACGCCCGCTCAAGTCAACAGAACCTAAGCTGAGAACCCCGCATTTAAGTTGTCCGTCTGCAACTAGAAAGCACCCCTGCGGCGGCCTCCAAAGACATCATCACATCCAGCTTTTCACAGGGCACCAACCCAACGCACCAGGTGAAGAGGAGTTAGGAAAGTCGCAGCGCACGTGGCTCGTCTATTGAAACTCGTCATAGAGCTCTGTACAGATTGCTGTGGGAATGTGGTTGCGGGTCGTCTTGGTCCGAGAGGCGCGCGCTTTTCGATTGTCCAAGACAAAAGTAAAACGTCCCTAATGCATATCATTGATCGCGATGCGCATGGAAGAGGGCAGGAAAAGATTTGTCATGGCCGGTGGGCACCGCATTGTCTGTGCTATGTTCGGTCAACCCGCTCCAAGGCGCACCCAAACCCGAAGTTAAGAACCCGCCCAACCCCCACAACAACCTGTGTCTTTTGAGGCACTTGCTCTTCTGCAAATCTGAACCAGCTCAGCTATTCCTACCTCTGTACTTCTACAATTCTCTACACTGCAATGCAACCAAGGCCTCATACCTTCCGATTCGCAGAGTCCTACACACAAAACTAACATGAAAAGGGAAAACCATGCTTCGCTCTCTTGGCACCGGCCGCTGTTTACTGTTTGGGCAAGTGGACAGCAATTAATGGCGGCACGAGGATTCCGCCAAGATGCCGGCCCCGCAGGGTACAGAGAACGAGATACGCTCCGCATACACACGCATATACATACATACATACAGGGACGCGCACCCTTGCATGATGACAGCAGCACTGGTTCCTGGCAGTTTTGGAGAGCCGGCCCCAAATGCCCATGCCTTCCGCCACACACACACGCACGCCAATACTTTCCAACACGGCACATGGCAAGAAGGCCATGGCAATAATTCGGCAATCTATGTATTAAACGCCAATAGAAATTTCGGACACCGCAGCGTCCAATGAAACCAGCGCAGCAGCGTACTTCTAGCGCCGTCGGCTCGCAGGCCGAGCCCAGCTAGCGCCTCGGCCCCGACCCCTTGCGGTATGACTTCCATTGAGCATGGGATTGAGGTAGGACGTGGCGGGCTCAAATAGCGGGTTTAAGTGCTGGCCGGGTCTCTGGACCGCATCGGACTCAGATCCCGAGTGATCTGTCCGCAAACCTCCCTCGCCCTCCTTCCCTCCACTTGCTGCAGCCGTCGTGTCCTGCGCCTGCTGCTGTTGCTGCCCTGGCGGCGGTGGCGGTGGCGGTTGTGGCAGCCTCGAATAGGACGCTTCCGGCGACATGGTGGGCAGGCGACCTGAAGCTGTAGCCAGGCTGAGGTAGCCGCCGCCCCCTAAGCCCATCGCGGCCGGAGGTAAGGGCGGAAGGGTTGCGCCAGGTTCCGCGGCAACTGGTGGTTGTGGCGGCGCCGGAGGAGCGGCGGCTGCGGCTCGTCCTGCACGCGCCGATTCGGCTGCTGACGGCGCGGCACTGGCAGTTCGGCTCGACCGGGCGCTTCCATTGCCCCCAGTGGCAACGGTAGCCGCAGCCCTGCCGCCGCCGCCACCACCACCAACAACCGGACCACCACCACCACCACCCACACCGGCTGCAGCATTGTACGAGCGGGCAGTGTCGTACGCTGTCGTACGTCTGCTTCGGTTTGGCACGCTAGTAAAGCTGAGACGGGGCGTGTAGAAATCGCCGGGAGACTTAGGCGTGGGCAGCGGCGGCTGGCCGCTGACGCTTGGGCGGTTACCGGTCGCCTCTTTGCCATTGCCCTCATCATTGGACTCGCAGGATGCGGCGCTGCTCTCCACCTGCCACGCCATGTCAGCTACCTCAGGATCCAGCCGAGGGCGACCGGCGGACACAGGGCCCAAGGCGGCGGCCTGGCGGGTGCTGCTCCCACCGTCGCCGCCGCCGCCGCGCTCCCGTGCCGATTCCGTCGGCCAGCCAAACTCCGCAATGATGCTGGACTGGGACCGGTGCCGGGGCCGGGGCGTCACGTGGGCCGGTGGCCCGGGAATGCGCCGGATAACCCTGCCGGTCCCCCCCATTCGGGCGACGGCCGCTGCCGCCGCCGAGCCAGGTGCAGCGGCAGACAGTTCGTTTGTCAAGCTGCTGACAGCGCGACGCTTCCTGTGCAGCATTGGCGGCGGCGGCAGCGACGCATCGCCGCTCTCGCCATCGTCACCTCTGCTGCCGCCGACCCCCTGGCCATCGCTGTCTCGGCCGCTGACGCCGTCACCGTCGCCGCCGGCGGGGTGGGGACTGGGCTGTTGCCGGTGGTCTGCGATGGGTGATGCCATATCGTATAGCACGTTGGCGTAGTGGGTGATGACCTCGTCGGCAACGTCACCGCCTCGAGTACCACCACCCTGCGACGATGCCAAGCCGGCGATACCGTCAAGGGGCGACAGCGATGACAGCGACGCACCGCCACCATCATGATGCGCTGCACCAGCAGCAGCTCCCTCGTACCGTTGGATGCGCGCCAGGGCAGCAATCGCACTACCGCCGCCGACAGCAGGGCGAGCTGTGGCATCCGTGTCACCCTCGTACAGCGCATTGTACGCCGTACGAATGCGCCGTCGATTACTGGCTGCGGCGGCGACCAGGGCGGTCGGCGGGTACGGCAGCAGCGGCACTTCTCGGCTCTCCGGCAGGCTACTGATGCCGCTGAGGCGGCGGCTAGACGCATCATCACTGCCACGCGCCAGGGACCGCGCAACACCGCCCTCGGCGTCAAGACCAGCGGCGATGAGGGCGAAAGCGGCGGCGTCGCCACCGCCGCCCATCGCCTCCTCCGGAAGCTGCATCTCATATCGATATGCCTGGCGTCGCCGTCGACTGTAGACGTAAAACGCGCCACAGGCCGTCAGCATCGCCACCGGGATGGCAGCGACCAGTACGACCAACAAGGCGACGTTGGACGAGACCCAGGATTTGCTGCTGGCGCCGCGGGCGGCAACACCTTCACCGCCGTCGGAATCCGGGTTGACCGGCACCAGGTTCTGTGGAATGCTGGGGCCCGGGACGGTTGTGGTGGCGACGGCGCGTGCCAGGTTATCAACGGAGGTCGCGACCACAAAGGCGGGGACGCTGGCGGCGGCTTGGGCTAGCTGGCGGAGCGCCACCGTGACCTGATCCTGCGCCACGACGGAGGTGGCGGCGACCTGCAGTCCGACGACGAGGAAAAGGACAGGAAGACCACGACACAGCACCAACGACACACATACACACACACACACCAGCCAGCACAGCACCGGCAGCGACGGCGACGGCGAGCCGCCGAACGGGCGCAGCAACGCCATGGCACCACCAAGGTGAAAAGGGCGAAGAGGGAAAGGTGAAAAGGGCGAAGAGGTGAAGAGGGGGAGGGGAGCGTGAGTTGTAAAAACAATACGAGGTAAACGGTAAGGTAAGTGAAATGGGTGTAAAAAGGGAGAGCGAACGTGTGGTGATGGATATGGGGCTAGTAGGGGTTCGGAAGGACACTGAAGGGGTGGTCGTTTCATGACAACACCGAATGGCATCCTCGAGTGTTGATTCAATGGTCGTTACTTTGGGTCGAATGTATGTGGGTGGGTTTCTATGTGGGTCTGAGTACGTTCGGTGGCACGCGTACATACACGTATATGATGTATTTGAGAGGAAAGACGGGGCGAACTAGCTTATCCCATGCCGCCATTAGTCATGATAACCGACACAAAATGGCCACCCCATGAGCCGCAAGCCCTTCAGCTGCCGCCAGTCTAAAACTTCGGTTGCAACCGAATCGTCCACCAACCGAGTCCCGCCACATGGACGGACGCCACGTCACTGCACGGGCAATCATCTGTAAACTGGTTCGTCAAATTCTCAACCTGCCACGCACCGACCCCCCACGCAGCGTCCCCGCGCACAAACACGCCCGCTGACACACCGCCTGCCCTTCCCCGGTGCTCACGTACACATGCACCTATCCTGTCGCATGCGGCTCCTCATCAGCCCAACGGGCTGCCCCCCAAGCGGCCCATCAGTAATGTAATGTAATGTAATGGGATGGGCGCCCACCTGCGTTATGTTGCCGGTGCTGACTGCGTTCTGGATAATGCCCTGCATGTTGGCCATGCCTCGCAGCGCCGCCTCGCGGCGGTTAGGGTTGTCCACGCCGTACAGGTTCGCGTTCGGAAGCGATGTCAGCACACGGCTGCCGCCGCTAGTGCTGCTGCTGCTGCTGTTGGTGCTGATGCCTGTGCTGTCATTCACTCCTAGCAGCGACAAGGTGTTGTTAATCAGCATGTCAAGATCCACGGGGCTAGTGAGGTTAATCAGCGGCTTAGGGCCGAACTCGATAACGGTGGCGGAGCCGCCGCCGCCACTGACGCTCTGTAGTAACTTCCGACGGCTACCGCTATCGGCCGACGTCAGTAGCTTGTGAAGGAGCGCCCGCCGGCGGTGCCGAACCGCAGACTCCGACGCAAGGGTGCTATTGCTGCTGCTGGAACCATTGCTACTGCCGCTGGTACTGTTGCCGTTGGTGCTATTGCTGTTCGAACCCGTCACACCCACTCGCACCCCTCCGCTGCTGAACAAGTCCTCCACGAACTTGGCCAGCGCGCCCCACACGACACGGCCCATGGCGGGCAGATCATCGGGACGGGAGATCAGGAAGGTGGTGGTCTGCAGGACAGCGGCCATGACCTGCTGCTCCGCCCTCATAAGCAACTCAGCCTGTGGGGTTTAATTGGAATTTTATAGATTATGTACAGGGGGGATTTCAGGGTCGTCGGGTGCCGGATGCTCAGATTTTCAGGCAGTGAGCTTTGGGGTTTTAGAAGGGGACTGTAACGGTGAGTAGAAAGTGGGGCGTTAAGGAGTGGTGTTTTGGGGTGGTGAGGCATGGGGATGATGGGGGCCATGGCGAGCATAATGGGGCCCGTGCGATGTGATGCGACGAAGCGCCATGTGAGGCATGCGTAGATCGGCCTTTCTGAAGACTACTGAGCCGATTGGGCAGCGAGTTGCGCGCCGCCACACTGACTCACCCCCTTGTCCTGGTCGACGTAGTACGCCTTGATGGGGTCGGTCATGCCCAGGGTGTAGGCGGTGGCGTTGATGCCGAAGGCAAGCTGTGGGTTATGTCGGGGATGTGGGGAAATATCAGTGGCTTACAGCCGGGGAACAGCGGGGCCGAGTCCTTCAAGATCCGGTGAGTCGGATACGCCAGGCAGTATATACCGCCGGGTAGCTGCGCGGTTAGGTAGTTCATTGGGGAGTTAGGTGGGTGTGATGATGGGCGGAAGGCGTTGTAAATACAGGTGTCATCGACTGTCAAGGGAACCCCCCATCGCCACCGTGGATCAGAAGCAAATGCCGTACTTCCCAGACCGTCAAGTGCATTTGCATGGTGTGTCCCAATTCAGCCTGCGTGTTCCCCCAAGACTGTATCAGCCCCGCCTGCCCCGGCCGCCCTCCTGGCTATGTCTCTGGTACCTTGGCCTTGGCTTCTGCCTGAGCGTAGCCCCGTTCCTGCATAGCCACCACCAGCGTCGTCAATGGCGTTATCACTCGAGACAGCGACGGCGCCGCCAGTTCCACATACAGCTTCAGCATTGACGCCGCGTCGTGGCACTCGTCGTACGGCCCAACGGCATAGCGGTTAGATTCGTACGATGACGGGTTAGCTGGGACGACGCGCAGAGGCGCCGCAGCACTGGCAGCAGTGGGTAGAGTGAGGGTCCAACCGCTGACAAAGGTCGAGGTGTTGTACGGCTCAGCGCCGACGCCACTGGTTTGGGCGCTGCCAGAGACGGCGGAGGTGACGTTCAGCAACGCGGCGTTAGCGTCAGTGTCGGCATAAACGACACAGTTGTCCATGTAACCGTCAATCAGCCTGCCCGTGAGAACGACAGGGGTAAAGATTGGTGGCGGTGGCGGCGACGGCGACGGCGGGAGCGGTGCTGGCGACGGTGCTGGCGACGGTGCTGGCGGTGCAGGAGGAGAGGGCGGCTGCGGGCTAGGGGGTTGCGGGCTTGGCGGCAAGGGCGCTGGAGGCACCCGTGGCGGCGATGGCGACGGTGGCGGCGCGGGAGGTAAGGGTGGGGGCGAGGGTGAGGGCGGCGCGCCCGGAGGCGACGGGGGTTTCACAGGAGTTAACGGCTGCGGCGGAGCCATAGGATCTGACGGCGGAGCGGGCTCGGGATACTCCGGCGGCGGGAAGTCCGGCGGCGACGGCGGCGGCAAGGGCGACGGCGGCGTAGGGGGTGGAGGCCGAGGGTTAGGCGGTGGTCTTCGCGGCCTTGGTGGCGGGCGAGGAGGAGCTGGCGGGGGCGGCGGCGGAGGTTGAGGAGAAGCTGGCAGTGTCGGCGATGGCGGCTCAGGGGAAGGCGGCGGCGGCGGTGGCATTGGAGGCGGCGGAGGAGGGGGTTTTGGGGACATAGGCCTGCGGGGCTTGGGCGGAAATGGCAGAGGCGGCTTAGGCGAGGGCGAATGGGGCGGTGGTGGCCCTGGCGGCGATTGCGGCTGTGAAGGGTCTGACGGTGGCTCAGGGACGGGGGGGAAGAGAGGTGCTGACGGCGGAAGCTTTGGCGGCGGCGGCGGCGGCGGTGATGGGCTCGCCTCCGGCGGTGATAACGGCGGCGACGGCGGCTGAAGGGAGTGGGTGGGCAACACTTGGGTAGGGGCGGTCGGTGATGGAAGCGCAGGTGACGGCGCCACTGGAGGAGGCCTTGGTGACCACCTCCGCGGCGGCGGCGGCGGCGGTGGCGGCGACGACGGCAATGGTTTTGGGGGCTCCAATGGCTTTGGAGGTGGTGGTGATGGTGGCGACAGTTGCGGCGGCGGCTCGTACGGCGGGGCTCGTGGAGCACCGTATGGAGGCGGCGGTACCGCGTACGGATGCTGCGGTGATGTGTATGGCGCATACGTTGGGGGCGCTGGAACGGGTGGCGTGGCGGATGGAGGGGTCTCTAGCGGTGGCGAACGGGGGTTTGGCGATGGAGAGGGAGGAGCCGCGGGGAGTAGTGATGGGGAGGGCAAGGCTGATGGCGACCGTGCCGGTGCGGAGATGGGCTCTGGAGGCGGTGCAGGGGAGTGTGGTGGACTGAGTGTTGGTGGCGGCGATGGCAGCGGCGATGGTTGCGATGGTGGTGGCGGTGGTGGTGAAGGTGGTGATGAAAATGGTGGTGGCGGCGGTCGCGGCGGCAGATAAGGGCGGGCTTCAGGCCCAGAAGGCGGCCCTGGACTGGATTTCGGTGCTTGTGGGGATGGCGGCGGCGACCCTTGGAAGGGCGTAGGCGTTGGAGGCGGTGGTGTCGCAGTTGGACCGTCCGGCGTTGGCAGTGGCGGCGGTTTGGGGCTGGACGGGGGAAGAGGGGTTGGCGGCCGGGGCACCGGCGTTGGCGGCGCTGTTGGTGGAGGTGAAGGGGAGGGCGGCGACGGAGGTTTGGGGCTTTGTTGGCGAGGAGGCAGCGGTGATGGCGACAGCGGCGAGTTGGGTTGGGATGGGGACAGCAGTGGCGGCGGCGGCGGCGCATCGGGCTGCTGCGGAGGACGGCGTGAGGACGGCGGTGGCGGCGGAGGCGGCGGTGGTGAAGGCGACGGTGGTGCAGGTGACGGCGGGACAGGACGCTTCGGCGGCTGCGACGCTGTAGCCACGAAGCCAACCTTCATGTACAAACCTGCACAAGCTCCAGACGACAGCCACACGACGTCATCGTCAAACACCGGCTGTGGATACACTCGGGGGCCGCTGCTGTATTGCGGTGTCGAGTACACTCTACCCAGTGTGTCGAAAGCGCCACACTGAGACGCTTCATACCCATCGCCACCCCAGCTGCATGCGTAGAACGCCGCGTCGCTGTCGCCCGTGTCCTCCAGGATCGTGCACAGAGGGCTCGGGTGCTCCTCGTCGCCTTGCTCCTGGGCTGTGCTGCTGCATGCTAACGCCAGGGATGCTAGCGGGAAAAACACATAGCCCGAGTCGGCGATTTCGCAATTGAGGGGTGGCTTAGGAGGTGGGGATGTCGGCATGGGGCTGGGCGGCCGGGTCGCCGGCGGCGTGGGCGGCCATGGTGGTGCTGGGACAGGCGGGTAGGGTGGTGGTGGACTGTTGGGTACTTGGGTCACCATAGAGGCGCCTGGAGGGCGAACGCAAGACGAGGGTGATAAGCGGAAGGAAGTCATGGTTTCTGATGTTGAGGGAGGAGAGAGATAATGATCATACATACATACTCCTACATGCATGCAGACCCAGCAGTTAAAGAGTTTGCTGAGCTTTGTAATTGCATTCATGTGGCGTCTGAATCGTGGATCTTGGAGAACCGATCATACCTGTTGCCTCTGCGAGGGCTGTGAGGTTGAGAGGCGGGGGACGTGGCACTTGCGGCGGCGACGGCGGCCGCAGTGGCGGCGGCGGTGATGGCGGCCGCAGTGGCGGCGACGGTGCCAAGGGTGGTGGGGACGGCGGGGCCGTAGCCCCAGGAGGCAGAGGGGGAGGCGGCGGCAGGGCGGGCGGCAGCAACGGTGGCGGCGACGGCGGTGCCAACGGAGTGCTAACGGTAATAACTACCGTGGCAGTTACTCGTATTTCGCGTGTATCGGCTAAATGACGCCGTCGAACGTGGCTATTCGCAAGGTCTTCCATGTCGTTCGCGGCACGGGCAAGCGCCGAGGCACTGGCTTGGGCCTGCAGAAATGGAAATCAAGGGCACGAGTGACAGAGACGGCGGCGTATCAGCGCTCACGAATTCATTATCGTATCGCGTGTTCCAAGCCTCCAATCCGTTAAACCGATAAGAGGTGCCCTGAATGGTGCCCAAAGGCGAGCCCGTGCCCTTGGTACTCGCACACATCTGTAGAAGTAGGAAGTCTGACTACGAACTGGATTGCACCTTGCTCAAGAGTTTCCACCAAAACCGGTAAGGTAAATGGGTGGCATGCACGCTGTTTCCGACCCTGTTCCCCGTTCCAAACATCGGCATCGTACCTCCGGAACAGACTCCACTTGACGCGAGGCTAGCTGGAGTAAGCTCTTCAATCGCAGCCCGCATCGACCCATTGGTGACGCCTCATCATCATGGAAGTGCTCCGAAAGCTCCGCAGCATCCCAAACCCGCAGCGGCGGCGACCTGCGGCCAATGTCCGCTTCCTGACCGGCCGCACCCTCACTGAGGTGGCGGCGTTGCACCGCTGGCGACAGCGGCGAGCTGTGGCTTCCAGGCAGCGTAATGCCAGTCACGATGACCTGCGGCACTCGCGAAGGCGCCAGGCGTTGAGGTCATAGGCAAATAAGGAGGGCCCGTTTGGAGTACGTGGGACAACTGCTTCGATGCGGGCAAGAGGATATGCCAGGCGACACAAATTGGATCCCCTGCCGTTCAACTCTTCAAGGCAGCAAGCAAGTAAGGAAGTAAGGAACAACCCATCGTAGGGGTCGAAAGATGCTGCTTGTTCTGGTGCTCTGTGTTTGCATGAGGATCCTGTGTCAGAACGTGATGCCTTGCCCCCATCGCGGTATCGACATCAGCACTCCACGTGCCATGCCAGCATCAGGACAGCCGCCACCGCAACCACCCCAATCATCACCACTACTGCATAGGACTCACCTGTTCCAAGGGAACCCCGAAGAAAGCTGCAAGGTCCATTCGGATCTGCAGGATGAACTCCTCTGCCGCCGTTGCGTTCACAAAAGCGCTCTCGTCGATCGAGAACACCAACTCGTAGTCCTGCACTACAATCGCAATACCCGGCGGAAACGGTGGTGGCGGCGGTGGTGGAGACGGCGGCTGTGGTGGCCGTGGCGGCGGAGAGGGCGGGTTTGGCGGGCTACGCGGCTCGGGGCTCGGTGGCGCTGGCGATGGTTGTGAAGGCTGCGCCGGCGGCGGATGGCCCGGAGGTCGCGGCGGCGGCCGGGGAGGGCGTGGGGGTGGTCGTGGTGGCGCCGGCGGGGGGCGGGGGGGTGCAGGCGGTGACGGGGATGGCGGCGGCGGTGGCGCCGGGCGTGTTGAGGGCGGCGGCTGTGTTACCATCGGCGCAGGAAGGGAGGGAGGCGGCAGGCCAGGAGGCGGCTGTGGCGGCAGGTTGGGAGCCGTATGCGGTGGGAGAGGCTTTGGCGGGAATTGCAATGGTGGGGCGGAGGGACTTGGAGGTGGCAGCAGCAGCGATGGAAGGTGCTGCGCTGATGGCCGTGGCGACGGGGGTTCAAATGGCGGGAAATCTGGGAACTGTGGAGCCTTTGGGCCACCAGGGACTGAGGGGATCGGGACCTCCGGGGGCATCCACGGCCGTGGCGGCAATGGACGGCGGGGTCGCAATGGCGGCCTTGGCGGCAGCCTTGGCTGCCGGGGTCCGTTGGGCTCCGGAGGGGACGATATGGGTGGTGGAAGCATGGGGATTTGTGGTGGGACCAGATGCGCAGGTGGGGAGGGCGAAGGGGAAACGATTGATGGTAATGGGGACAGGAAGGGTAGAGGAGATGGCAAGGGAGGCGGCGGCTGATAGGCTGGCGGCGGCGGTTGTGGTAACGGGAAGGAAGGGTGCTTGGGCGATGGCGGGTAGGCTGGCGGCGATGGCGTTAATGGTGAATATTAGCGGGCGGTTGTGGTAACGGGAAGGAAGGCTGGTTAGGTGATGGCGGATAGGCTGGCGGCGGCGTTGATGGTGCTGGATCAGCGGGCTGCTGTGGTGATGGGAAGGAAGGCTGCTTGGGCGATGGCGGGTAGGCTGGCGGCGGCGGCGTTGATGAATTAGTGGGCGGTTGCGGTAACGGGAAGGAAGGCTGGTTAGGTGATGGCGGGTAGGCTGGCGGCGGCGGCGTTGATGGTGCTGGATCAGCGGGCTGCTGTGGTGATGGGAAGGAAGGCTGCTTGGGCGATGGCGGGTAGGCTGGCGGCGGCGGCGTTGATGAATTAGTGGGCGGTTGCGGTAACGGGAAGGAAGGCTGGTTAGGTGATGGCGGGTAGGCTGGCGGCGGCGGCGTTGATGGTGCTGGATCAGCGGGCTGCTGTGGTGATGGGAAGGAAGGCTGCTTGGGCGATGGCGGGTAGGCTGGCGGCGGCGGCGTTGATGAATTAGTGGGCGGTTGCGGTAACGGGAAGGAAGGCTGCTTGGGCGACGGCGGGTGGGCTGGCGGCGGCGGCGTTGATGGTGCTGGATTAGCGGGCTGCTGTGGTGATGGGAAGGAAGGCTGCTTGGGTGATGGCGGGTAGGCTGGCGGCGGCGGCGTTATGAATCAGCGGGCTGTTGTGGTGATGGGAAGGAAGGCTGCTTGGGCGATGGCGGGTAGGCTGGCGGCGGCGGCGTCGTGTGCTAAATTAGTGGGCTGCTGTGGCGATGGGAAGGAAGGCTGTTTGGGCGATGGCGGATATGCTGGCGGCGGCGGCGTTGATGGGATTAGTGGGCTGCTGTGGTGACGGGAAGGAAGGCTGCTTGGGCGATGGCGGATGGGCTGGCGGCAGCGGCGTTGATGGACTAGTGGGCGGTTGAGGTGACGGGAAGGAAGGCTGTTTGGGCGATGGCGGGTAGGCTGGCGGCAACGGCGTTGATGGTGCTAGATTAGAGGGCTGTTGTGGTGACGGGAAAAAAGGCTGCTTGGGCGATGGCGGGTAGGCTGGCTGCATCGGCGTGGATGGGTTAGCGGGCTGTTGTGGTGATGGGAAGGAAGGCTGCTTGGGCGATGGCGGGTATGCTGGCGGCGGCGGCGTTGATGGTGCTGGATTAGCGGGCTGCTGTGGTGACGGGAAGGAAGGCTGCTTGGGCGATGGCGAGTGGGCTGGCGGCGGCGGCGTTGATGGACTAGTGGGCGGTTGAGGTGACGGGAAGGAAGGCTGTTTAGGTGATGGCGGATAGGCTGGCGGCAGCGGCGTTGATGGTACTGGATTAGCGGGCTGTTGTGGTGACGGGAAAAAAAGCTGCTTGGGTGATGGCGGGTATGCTGGCGGCAGCGGCGTTGATGGGTTAGCTGGCGGTTGCGGTGACGGGAAGGAAGGCTGTTTGGGCGATGGCGGGTAGGCTGGGGGCAACGGCGTTGATGGTGCTGGATTAGCAGGCTGTTGTGGTAACGGGAAGGAAGGCTGCTTGGGCGACGGTGGGTAGGCTGGGGGCAACGGCGTTGGTGGTGCTGGATTAGCAGGCTGTTGTGGTGACGGGAAGGAAGGCTGCTTGGGCGACGGTGGGTAGGCTGGCGGCGGCGGCGTTGATGGTGCTGGATTAGCAGGCTGTTGTGGTGACGGGAAGGAAGGCTGCTTGGGCGATGGTGGGTAGGCTGGCGGCGGCGGCGTTGATGGTGCTGGATTAGCGGGCGGTTGTGGTGACGGGAAGGAAGGCTGCTTGGGTGATGGCGGGTATGCTGGCGGCAGCGGCGTTGATGGTGCTGGATTAGCGGGCTGTTGTGGTGATGGGAAGGAAGGCTGCTTGGGTGACGGTGGGTTGGCTGGCGGCAGCGGCGTTGATGGTGCTGGATTAGCGGGCTGTTGTGGTGACGGGAAGGAAGGCTGCTTGGGCGACGACGGGTAGGCTGGCGGCAGCGGCGTTGACAGAGTGGGAACAGTTGGAGGCGCTCCGTGGTGACGGGACAATGGACGCTGAGTGGGTGCGGGATGTGTTGGGGGAGGCGACGGCGACACGTAATGTGGGGGCGTGGACGGCATGGGCTGTGGGGGAGAACTGGTAGATGGCGGGAAAGGGGAAGACGCGTCCGGTGGGATGGGTCTCGACGGATCAAGCGGTGTTTGCGGTTGTTCTGGTGAAGGTGGCACAGCTGGGATCGGAGCCACTGGGTTTGGAGGCTGCGGCGAGGAAGGGTGCGAAGGCGAGACCGGGTAGCTTGGCTGTGGCGGGCTGGGCGGCCGGCGCAGTGGAACGCCTGGAATCAGCGGCGACAGAGGTGATGAAGGTGATGGTGCTATTGGCGGCTGCGATCTCTGTGGCGGATAGCCGGGTAGTGATGGCGGCGGCGATGGGAGCTGCATGTTTGGCTGCGGGCTGATAGGTGGCTGTGGGCTGAGGGGCTGCGGTAGCGGTTGTAATGGCAAAGGCGGTGGCGGCAGAGGATGAGGAGGGCCCGGCTGGAAGTGGAGGGGTGGCTTTGGGGCCATCGGGACGTATATAGGTGGTGAAGACGGCTGCAGTGGAGAGGGTGGCGATGGCGGTGAAACAGGCTGGGGAACGCTGGGGGAAGGCGAAGTTGGGGCTACTCGCGGCGACGGGGCGGGTCGCTGGGGCGGTGGCGGCTGTGCAGCTGGGAATGTCGGGTACCCGGGTGGCTGTGTGGCCGGGAACGGTGGGCTGGGCGGTTGGCGTAGCGGAACGTCTGGCACTACAGGCGGCAGAGGTGACGGCGGCGACGGCGCTATTGGGCGATAAGATGGTGGCGACGACGGCGGCGGTGGCAGCGGTGGGAGTTGCGGTGGATAGGACAGCGGAGGCAACATAGGCTCGCCTGGGATCTGCGGGATGGCCGGTAACGACGGCCTTGGCGGGCTCCAGACAGGTGTTGGCGGGCTGGGCCCCGGCCACAGCGGGATGGGTGGAGGCAGCGAAGGGAGTGACGGCGTTGACGGTGGTGGTGCTCCAGGGCCATACACTGGCACCGGCAGCGGTGGTGGTGGCGCTCGAGGAACATTTACCGGCTCGGGCGGCGGCGGGGGCGGGGGCGCTCCTGGGACGTACGCTGGTGGCAGTGGGCCTGGGTTGCCGGGGAGAGGTGGGCCTGCTGGGTGCAGGTTGGGAGGAGCGTCTGATGGTTGAGGCAGCGGCGGTGATGGCGGGCTGGGTTCCTTTGGCGGGTGAAGAGGCATCGGGCGCGGCTGGGAAGGTGGGTAGGATGACGGCTGGGGGGGAGCCGTCGGCGCGCTGGGATCCCCAGGAACGGATGGGACGGTGGGAGACAACTGTGTGGGCAGCTGTGGAGGCGATGGGCTGTGGGTGGGATACGCTGGGTATCCTGGTGTTTGTTGGACAGGCGGCCATGGCCTAGGTCGCGGCGCCAGAAGCACTGCCGGGGGAGCTGGTGGGCGTGGCACCGGAGGGGTCTGGCACAGCGGCGACGTCGGCGATGGTGGAGGATATGATGCGGCCGGCGTTTTGGGTCTGAGGGGCTTGGCGAGGATGGAGCAAGGGGCGAAGGCGGCGATGGTATAGGTGCACTTGGGTAGGTGAATGGAGGCGTCGGCAACAGCGTCGGTGTCTTGGGAGCTGGTGGTGTGTACAAAGCGTTCGGCGACGGCGACGGCGCACGAGGAACTTCTGGACCTGGCTGTTGTGGGGGAGTTGGTGGCTGGGCAGTTGGCTGTTCGGGTTGCTGGGGTGTAAGAGGTGAAGGGCTCGGGCTTAGCGGTGTCGGTGCTCCTAAAGGCGAGGGTGCTGGCGACGGCGAGGGAGCTCCGATGGGAGGGTAGGCCGGCGGCGGCTGCTGTGGCGCCGGTTGCTGAGGCAGATAGGCTGGTGACGATGGTAGCGGGGCAGGGAACAGCGGGCTGGGCGGCTGGCGCAGCGGAACACCTGGCATCAACGGCGGTAGAGACAGTGGCCGCGGCGGTGCTGCTGGAAGAACGGATGGCTGCGGTGGATATCCGGGTGGCGCTGGCGGCGACGGTAGCTGCATGGGCGGCTGGTCATGGGATGGTGGGGCTGGCGACGGGTTCTGGGTTGCATCAGCCGGCGGAGGATGCCACGGGCGGGGTGGCGCCGCCGGAGCTGGGCTGGCAGGGTGGCCAGGTGGCGTCGGAGGGGAAGGGGAGGCAGGGTATCCGGGTAGCTGCGGGGCAAGCGGCTTTGGCCTTGGGAACTGAGGGGGTGGAGCAGCTGGCAGCGGCGGATTTGACGGGTGGCTAGGGGGATGGGATGATGGTGGCGGCTGCAGAGCCCTAGGTGGTGGGGTAAGTGGGCCCGGAGGGCCGGAGGGGTGGGACAGCATTGGTGAGATGGGGATGGATGGTTGTACAGGTGGCGGCTGGTGAGGAGGATACCCGGGAGGCAGCACAGCAGGTGGTGGTGTGCTGCGCGGGTGTGGAAGAGGAACACCTGGTGGTGGTGATAATGGGCCGGTGAAGTAGGGAGGTGGGGGCTGGGCGGTGGGCTGGATGGGGTGTACAGGCTGTTGCGGGGCTGGCGGTGACGGGGTGCTGGGATGTTGTGGCAGTGGTGCAACCGGGACCGACGGAGTTGACGACTGCGACGGCGATGGTGCAGATGGTACAGCATGGGGAGACAGCGGCAGCGGCGGTGATGGGCTGGAAGGAGAAGGCGGCGGCTGGTGAGATGGATAGGAAGGATGAATAGGGGACTGCGTAGGCGGAGCGAGCGGAGAGCTTGGAGGTGGCGACGGTGGAATGGATAATGGCTGTGGCGGCACAGGAGATAGAGGTGCGCGTGGGGGGTAGGCGGGGGGTACCGGCGATGACGGCACCGATGGAAGAAGCGGCGCTGAAACTGGGGATGGCGACGGTAGGACTACTGACGGTGGGTGAGGTGCAGCGGGCTGGGGTGAAACTGGATAGGTTGTATATACCGGCGGCGGCTGATGTGCAGAGGGCGACGGGCTTGGAGGCTGGTATGGCGGCTGTAATAATGGTGGCAGCTGTGGGATTGGATATGATGGAAGCGATGGTAAGGAGGGCCGGGGAAACGCTGGATTAGGTGAAGTGGGTGGGGCCGCAGGCTGGTTTGGTGGCGGACTTGGCTGTTGGGACGATGGGATGGGAGGTTGTGGATATCCGGGTTGCTGCGGGGCAGAGGTTGATGGGCTTGGTGGTTGGGATGGTGACGGCGCCATTGGATAGCTCGGCGGTTGTGGACTAGTGGGATGTGACGGGCTGGGTGGCAGGGGGGAAGAAGGCTGTTCGGCAGGGAAAGCCGGAAGCTGGGCTGGCGGCGGGGGAGAAGGAGACCAGCTGGGTTGCTGCGGGGCATACGGCAGGAGGGGGCCTGATGGTAGCTGCGGCGATGGCGACGTGGTGAGGGGTGCAGAGGGATTAGCCGGCCTCTGGGGTGGCGGCGGCGTGCGGACACTGGGTCCTGGGTAGCCTGGCGGTGGTGGCGGTGGGTAGGGTGGCGGCACTGTCGGGGGCGGTTGAGAGACTGGCTGCTGCG